GGAGTGCGACACAGCTTGAAGATCGGTATGCCCCGTGCGCCAAACTCGCACCGCGAAGTGCCCCCACCCTTCAACCTCCCCGTTGCATCACGCCATTTTCCACCAGCTCAACACACCCCTTGACTATTGGGAATGTTCCAGCCTGTATCAGGTCGCACTCGCTCCGAGACTCACCCTCAAACCCGGGGCCAGGCGCAGCCCCCGCCCTCTGCCCACGCCGGCGCGCCAGCGACAGAACATAGACCTGGACCTCGCCGACCTGGCCCAGCCAATCCCGGGCGCCAAACCGGGCCTACCCAAACCCCAAAGAGCCACACACGCCGAGCCGGCCGCGCCAGTTGTGAAGAAAGTGTGACCGGCCATCGGGGGCGCGCCCGCTTGGGCGATTTGCTGGATCCGGACGCGGGCAGCACTGCGAGGATTGGGACCTCGGATTTGTGGAAAGATCGCCGGCGGCGGGTCGGGCCAAGTGCAGGCGCGCCGCGGCGGCGTAGGCCGCCGTAGAGGCCAGGGCTGAACGGCGAAAGGGGCAAAGGTGCGGGGAGTGGGACCGCGTTGGGGGCAATGCGGTGGAGGCTGTGAGTCGGCGGAGACGGGCGTGGGGGAGGGGAGCGCGCTGTGGTCGGGGCGGGACGCCGTGCACGTGGCCTTTCGAGCCTGGCCGTGGGTCGACGTGTTCTGGGCTGATGCCCTTGGGGAGGCGCTCGCGCAGTACGGTTGGCCTGCATGTGTTCTGGCAGAGGGACGGGCATGGACGCAGCTTCGTATGTACGATGATGAGAAATTGCGTGAGGAGGATCGTCAGATTTGTTTCGATAAATCGGGGTGCGATCCGATGAGTTGGGGCGCGAGAGGAGTGCCATCAAAGTTTGGCAAAGGTTTCCGGCAAACCCGGTCGGCGAATCCGCTCAGCGAGTCCGGGGTAGTTTGCCAGTGAGTCGTTCGGCGCTTCGGTGTGACGATTGTGACGACTGTGGCACCGTGCGCCAGGCGGGTGCGCAGGGCGGCAGTGCAGGAGGGCCAATTTTGGAAGAAGAGGGCGGCGGTGGTGGGGACCCAGAATCACTGTCAAGCGACGAATACAGTCCTCTGGAATTGTTCCTGTGGGATGCCTGTCGGAATCTGCATATCTGTCTTCCGTGCGAATAGTATTTGGCACTGGAAAGAACGATCATTGCAGTTCGAGGGACTACATTGGTGGGCGATACTGTCACAGCAAGGTGGAGACGCTCCACATGTTCCTTTTTGTTACTTTTTTTGAGAATCTCTTTTGCTGCAACCACTGTGATTGATTTTGCTCCTTGACATGTGAATTGTTGGCCTGACTTTATGTCTTTTTTCACCACGTGTCAATTCACATATTCCCAACATTTGCATCAGCTGAATCTGACAGCAGAAAACAAGACATGGCTATGTTAAGACTTTCGTTAATCAGCTAGCTGCCCAGTTCATGGAACAGTTTGATTGCAGCGTTTAGTGGCCTTAATTTCCGACCCGGTTCAATAGACCTTGATCTAACTGTCGTGTTGAAGTTTCCTAATCGGCAGAATCGATGGGAACGTTGGCCAACTAAAAAGAAACAGTGCAGCAACATTAGGTCACGAAGTGCTCTTGTGACTCTCTGTGGGCGCGTTGTACCCAAACTCCACAAAATGAGGTGCATTATGCGAACGAAAATTTCTGCTCCCTTTTCCAAGCGGTTTGAAGATTTAATAAGGATGCAACAGCGCCAACAGAACTTTGTGCTTCCCCTGGCAGGGCACGTGACAATGGGCCAAATTCACAAATTTCACAAAAGATGGCTGTGATCTCAAACCAATGGAATTAAAAATCTCAAATTTCCTAGGCATGATTCTGAGTTTTGGTAGGCTGCAACTGCACAGTGCTGTACTTGGCATGCAGCGACCAACACAGCACCAATCCTTCGCTGCTTATGAAGGCCATCATTGTCTGTCATCCTGTGCCATTCGGATCAGGAGGCTTGGGTGCTCCAATCAGTGTCGTGACAATGGGACCTCAGATATGACCCCTGGCACCACGAGTTTCTGGCAATATCTACTTTGCAAGTTTATCTTTGGCTCGTACAAGAATTTCCTTCTGTAGGCGTTATCGTCGACATGGCATGTGCCGCTTCCCTGTCGCCACCATTTGCATAACAAGCAGCTCAGGAAACTCAGACTTGTGGACCTGAACTAACAACAGCGGTTTTAAATGTTCTCCTTGTTGTGTTCTATTGTCCAATCCCCCTCTTTTGTGTGGTGCACCAGGCAGCCATTGATGTACAAATATGGACAAGCAAGAAGGCGATGTGGCCCCTCAAAAGAGACGAGCACGCGTGCCAGACTTTGCCAATGTGCTGGACTCTTTTTACAATGGCATCGAGGACGCTCGGGGGGGGTTCAGAAGGGTAGCCTCCTACACTCACAGAAGAGTGCTGTTTGCCACAAACCGCTACAAGTATCATACCCTTCAGAAATTCGCACCCACAGAGAGGGTGGATGATGGATCGGTGCAACATGGAGCAAGTGACAGCATTGCAGGTGGGAGCTTGGACGAACTCAAATCTGGCTGTGTTGGCAGCTCAGTTCCTTGCATTGTTGGAAAGGCAACGCCAGTTCACCAGGCATTCAAATCCACTTTGGTTTGGATCTGACACGATGGCCATGGCCAGTTGGGTTTGCCTTGTGCTGAGTTTTGTGCTGAGACTGTAACGTGGTCGTCGAGAGATCCACAGGATGAACCATCGCAGAATGCTGAGAGAAGGAGTTTGGAGGTGAAAGTTGCTGTATTGAACACTGGCAGGTTTGCTGAGTGCTCTGGCGTTGTGCATTAGAGTCACCTGTGCCTTTTGTGCAGGAGTCCCGGAGTCCCATTGCAGAGACATGTTGTGTCTGCACTCCAGCAAACTGTCCTTTTTTGACGAGTTTAGGATAATTTGCGGGGTCCCTGTATTTGAACTGGTGACAAGGCCCCAGCATCCTGCTACTGGCGCGGGTAAAGGCGATGTTACTGAGGGGACAACAAGTGTAGTGAGGACTCAAGATACTGAAACCAAAGCAAGCACACCGAGCCCCTACATGGCCACCTGTGTCTCTTTTTCTGAAGATTCTTCGCAACTCGTTTCTGGGCACCAGGATGGGGCTGTCAGAGTGTGGGATGCAGAACATGGCCGCTTGCTGAATTGCTTGACTGGACAACACGATGGCAAAGTCTCTGATGTGTGTTTCTGCCATCGAAGGCAAAGTGTCGTTCTGTCATGTGACTGGAGTGGCTCTTTAGTCACATGGGACTTCACTACTGGCAGAACCGAGACAGATGATTGTGGATTCCGCTGGAGCAATTTCCACATTGGGTCAGAGCCATTCCCCCCTCAGTTTTCTTCCATGGGCGGCATCGTTATCTTTCCCATTAAGACCACCCTGGAGCTGCAGAGTTTTCAGAGCGAACGGGACCTGTCAAGGAGCGTGCTGGCTATGAAAACGGGCAAGGTGCTCAATGTGAGGGGAAGCGCACAGAATGGGGACCGCCCAGCTACTGGGCAGCTGGCAAATGGCGTTGGTATTGTCAGGCAGGGGGGCAACAGCAAGTCGATAGCTTATGTGCAAGCCTACGTACTGTTTACATGTAAGACATACCCTCGATCAAAGCTGGTGAAGGAACTGGTGGTGCCACTTCTGGAAGAGTCCAGCAGCAGTTGCTCACTGGCGCCTTTCTTTAAGCTGTCAGCCGATGGAAAAGGCCTTCTTGCCGGGTTTAGGGGCCACAGCCACAGTTTCTTGGTTTTGTGGACTGATTTTGTGGACATGGTGGACATGAGCTATCAGCTGGATGCCGGTGGCTCTAACACAGGAGCATGGCGGAAAGATGGTCGCATGGTGGTCACCTGGAGTCTGCAGGCAGACGGTGGAAGCAGTGTGGAGGACTCTGAATATCTACCGCCTGGGGGGATCTGCTATGTCTGGCACGTGACCAAATTCCAGGGTGCTTCGAAGAGTTACAACATTGCAAACGCAGGCCACCCCAAGCTCGTTGCTCCTGATCCAGTACGCCTGCAGCATCAGAGTGGGCATCGAGTGGCTTGGTGTGAGTTTCTGGAGCTGCAGGAAGGCTGGTTTGTGGCACAGGCTCTATTGGGAAAAGAAATGATGGTGGTCCTCTGGGATGTGGAGGGTAAATCTCCTGTGAGTATCCTTGGCAGTGGGGTGCAAGCAAGCTTGCCGGTTGTGTCTCACCAGACGAGCGATGTGTTGGCCAGGATGGTAAATCTCAGTGTGCCAAAGACAATGAGGGGGATTGCTGCCTCCCCGGACAGTAGGTGGCTCGGCTATTTCGATGCCAACAACAACAAAGGGATGGTGTGGGACATGGCAGTGGGGGTGCAGGTGCTGTCACTGGAACTGCCAGAAGGGACCTGCCAAACGTCTTCTGACAATGTGGGGCTTCTTTTCAGCAATCATGGTAAGTTCGTCATGTTTGGGGGGGCGTTGCGGGAGATGCTGCTGTGGTTGCCCAGGAATTTTGGGCCCCGGTCCAAAGCAAGTGTTCAGTTGGTGGACCTTGAGACAACAGATCAATCAATGCACTCCTTGGATACCAGACGCCATCCAACAAGTTGCAGTTTCTCCAACGATGGCAGATTGGTGGGTCTGGTGCATGCGTACACACCTGCCATGAGTGTCTGGGACCTGGAGCGTGGAATCAAGCACACATTGAAACTTCCATCAAATGCCGAGATCAACTCGTTGGGCTTCTGCGACTTTGCCATGTCACCAAATGGCCATTGCATAGCGACTTGCATGTCAGACAACAGTGTGTTGCTTTGGGTGTACCGCCCTGACAGTTCTCAAGTTGGTTATACTATGGATGGGAAACTCACTTACCTTAAAGCAGCATTCTACCCAAAGCGGGCGATCTGCTTTTCCTGCGATCTGGCTGGACAAGAGACTGTTGTGATCTGCGAGGATGATGGGACTTTAGTGTGGGTTGGAGTGAGTGACAAGGTAGAGCTAGAAAGGACTTCCAGCAAAGTGGCCTACAACTTCCACTGCACATTCTCCCAGAATGGCAAGAGAGCTGTCCAGATGCAGGATCCGCAGACTGCACTTGTCTGGGACCTGGTTGGGCGCAGGGTTCTGAACACTGTGCAATTCAACCTCAGGTTGGGCCTCACTGGCGAGTTTCCTTTCCCCCTGAACATTCATCCTGAGGGCGTGTCAGCCGTGGTTGGGACATTGAGGGATGGGCCAGGGATGCAGGTGCTAACATGGGACACCACTGAAGACATCCTGCGGGAGAACGTGGAGGGAATTCCTAACCACATAACAATATCTGACAGCGGGCGTTGGGCACTGACGGATGACTCGTCAGGGTTGCCGCATCCAGAAGCTTCTGATTGGAGGAGCTTCAGCTCTGTTGGGACAATGCCAAGGAGGGCAGCAACTGTGGGAGCGCTGTGGGTCAGGGATGTCACTGGCAAGTCCGAGCCAAAGAAATTGGCAGTTCCTGACCTGGACCCGTCCATGTTCATGGCCATGTCTGAGCATGGGGACAAGGTGGCTTGCTTGACAAAGGACAAGAGGCTGATCGTGTGGACGCCATATGCGGCTGATGGGTGCATCCCAGACTACAACATGGTGCAGGCCGGAAGAAGAGGAGGGCAAGGCGCAGTTGGGGATGGTGTTGAAGAACTGTTAGCCAAGCACGGGGTAAGGAGTCTCCAGTTGCAACCTTTTGAGCCTCAAAGTGTGCATGGCAACCCAGGTGCACAAGCTGTGCACATCTTGTGTCTATGTGTGTCACTTTTCAATATGTGAAGGAGCATTCCATTCTGGAATGGGCTTGGCCGTCGACATCATCTGCCTGGTTTGATGTACAGCCACGCATGTGGAAATTCGCTGGGACCTGTTCATGCTGCAAACAAAATTTTGACATTCGCATTCGAAGCTTTCAGATGCCATGCCTCACCTTTCATGAGGGATGCTTCGTTGCTGCAGTTGCTCATGCGATGCCACCACCCAGCCACCTCGATTTGAACGCTGGTGACTTTCTTGGGTGGAATTTTCCCAGTCCATGGGTGTTGAATTTGTTGAGTTACAGCAGTGCTTTGTGCCAAAACATCACAACCGAAACTGACAGTTAAAATTTGTTTTTGCGTTTGCATCAAGGTGAGCCTTCTGAACTACCCAGACGAGAGTGGAATGAATATACTGTTTCAGGCGATCTACAACAACGACATTGGCCTTGTCAGGAGGCTGCTTAATTGGGTTTGCCAGAAGAAAATGAAAATATCAATGCGGACGGATACGACGGCTGACAGTGCGGACTGGAAGAGGGTACCCAACGCTCCAGCTGGCCTTGCAGCGTCGGTCACCTGAGACAGCGCGTGTGCTTGTCGAGTACTTATTGGGGGGCGTCACCACGGAGGCTGCCCAAGCGCAAATTTTCAAAGAGTCACTGCTCAATGTTCTTCGTGTGTACCCATCGCTGTTTTATGACGTTATGTCAGACAAAAGGGTGTTTCTCAAGATTGGCGAGCACATGGCACCCGAGAGGGCTTTTGAACACCGTGAACTGCTGGCAACATCCTGCGAGATGATGCTGCCCTCGGAAAAGTCCCTGAAGGAGATGTGGGACACAAAAGTCAGGGAGAAGTATGACAGCTACCAGCTGGCTATGTCAGTAAACATAGAGACGGTGGCAAAGGTCATTCCGTATCCTGACATCGCCCGGATTGGCAAGAAGGGACTTTTGAGGGCGCTGGTGGCCAACCGCACAACCCACCAAATGTATGCTGCAACGCCCATTGCCAGCTTGGTCGACTACAAGTGGCATAGCTATGGTCGGGAGCTGCTGCTGGAGGAGCTTACGCATTATGCCCTGCTGCTAGCTTCCTTTACTGCCTACTGCATTTTCTTGGGGCATCTGGGAGAGTTTGAAGAAAGAAGTGCTTCTTTCAACGATGCTGTGGCGATCTTTGCTGCCATTTCACTGGTGGTGTCCATAATTCTGGCCTTTTTCAATCTTGTGCGCAAGATTTTCCAGGTACTTGGGAGCACATTGATGTCAGCGCAGTTGCGACAAGGCACCCCTCCATTGTCTCTGGATGTTTGCATCACTACTTGATTTATCTTTGCGTGTTCTTTCTTTTTGATATGACTGAACACCCAGTGTGTCAGACCATCCTCTGTGAATTGGGACCAGTTTGGGGAGCACTGGTGTAGAAAACTTGGACATGTTTCTTGTGGGAATTGTGTGTTGAGCCTATGCAAGGAACAGTTGTGTGTACTCCATTTCTTGCTGTCCTCTGCACAATAAGCTTTGTGCTTTCTGCCTCTCTTGGACACTCAGCGATTGTTCTGAAGCTTGAGGCCAGGCGGGTGCACACTCCAACGTCAGTGTATCATTGTTGAAATGAAGTGCTTTCTTGGTGAAAGAACTCTTCACTGTTCCTCAACACCTAGCAACCAATGTGCTGTCGTCCGTGTGGGCTTCATGGTCAAAGTAATGAAGAACAGTGACACTCTTGAACGACAAACTGCATCGATACAACAGGGGGAACTGCTGCCTCATAGTGCTGGGAACTAAAGCAAGCTCACACTGGTCGTTGCCCTGCACGCTTTCATGCAGGTAATCACCTTGGTCAAGGAGGAGGGTTTGAGGGGCTTTGTTATGTGGTCCAACTTTCATTGGCACTCGATCGAGATCGCCTCATACCTCATCGTGGTTTTCTTGATCCCTTTTGCCTTTGTGAAAGGAGAAGCAAGGCAAGACGTGGATCTGTCCAGTCTCTCCGCCATTGTTGTGATCATGCTTTGGTGGAAGGCGCTGTACTACTGTGGACCTTTCAGAAGCACAGGTAAGCGGAGGGTGGATGTGGGGGAGTTGAGTCGATGAGCCATCACTTATCGTGCGTGGCATGGTGCCCCGGAGGGCCAATGGCGGACAATGCCCGCACCACGTGCCTGGCGTTTAAATCAATCAGCGAATTTCAAGGACTGATTGAGAGCAGAAAAACTGACAAAAGCGTTGTGTGAGAGTGTCTGGAATGTTCTGGAACTGAGCCACGTTTCGGAATGGGCAGCGTCGATGTGCTGTGTGTGAACAGCAGCAATGGTTCTATGCGCGACCTTAAAATCGGACAGCCAGTTGTACCCAGTTCTTAATGATAAAATGTTGGTTTGATAGGTTTTGTCACCAGTATGGCCGCTGCAGGGAGGGATAGTTTTCGGCATTTGTTTTGAACATGAAAGGGAATAGATGGCACTGTCCATCGTGATAGACAGGCTGCCCACAGCGGTGTCAGCATTGCACCATGATGTATGATGAGATCTGCTTTTGTTGACAATGGAGTCCAGTCGCTGGCCACAGCGTCTTGGTAGGAGTGGCTTGTCCTTTGACATGATGTTCGCTTTGCTTCTGAATGTGAGAAAATTTTCTGTACGCACGTTGATCCCATACCCGGATATTGAATAGGATATGCGCACCACACGCTTGATATGCATACCCAGGATATGGTCATATTTGGACATGGGCGCGTCGTTGGAGACGGAAACACTGGATGCATTGGATATGGAACATCCTACAAATACTGAATATTGTGGCAAGATATGGCCGTATCCTGGGTATATATATCCAGGGTACGTCGCCCACATCCAGGATATGCAAAATTTCCAAAGCGCATGATCCCAAAAATCACGTTGGAAGATTCCGTGGCAACTAAATATTAGGCAACGCTTCCTGGCAATGTGGAATTCTTATAGAAAAAGTACCAGTCGAGTGGAAAGGAATTGTTTGATTCACTAGCAAACGCTCACAAGCTTTGTTTTCCCCGCAGGATCTCTTGTGGTGATGATCCGAGAAATTCTCAAGGACATCATGATATTCATGTTGCTGGCCTTTTCCGTTCTTTTTGGATTTGGAATCGCATTTTACGTCCTGTACCGCCATGCTCGAAGTGCCCACACGGGGCGCAGAGCCGCATGCTCTCTATTCAACGAGACTGAGGTGCAAGGCATGAAAACAGTAGACCCCGAAATGACGATGTTCCTGGCCCCGGAAGTGAGGGAGTCACTCATGCGTTGTGCGGAAGCTGTGAGACCCAAGGACAGGGTGCCAGAAGTGAGACAACAGAACGAGTTGGATGATGAAGAGGAACGAGATGTGCTCAACGCGTTTGGAACACTTTCTAGGACGTTGCTCACAATGTTCGGGTTTCTTCTCGGGGACTTCGACCTGGAGACGTTGTGGGAAGCTGAGAGTGCTTCAGTGGCGGTCACCCTCTTCGTTTTGTACGCACTGGCCATGATGATCGTTCTCCTGAATCTGTTGATCGCCATCATGGGAGGTATGGTGCACATTGACCAGCTGGTTCCGAATGAGGTTCGGGCCACATTGGAACCATCTTTCCAGATCACGAAAATTTCATATCATTCAAATCGAAAGATTTCCGCCAGATGTGCGATTTGAAGGCCAACACAAACAGTGTACTGCTCAGTGCCTGCGCATGTAAATTACATAGTTGCATTCTGTTCTTCCTTCATGATGGTAATGGTTTTGCATGTGGCCTGTTGGGCGTGCAGACAGCTTCGACAAAGTAAAAAATACCCAAGAAAGCACGTTTGTGAAGGCACGGGCCCTTGTGATTCACGATGTCGAGACCATGATGTCCGAGAGAAAGAAGAGAGAGAAGGAGTGAGTGCTTTGCGTCCACACCTGTTTTCAGGACATGCATTCGGATTCGGAATTTGTGAAGTTCGGCATGAAAGAATACAGCTGCCTACACAGGATTCCCAGCGTTCCATTTGGTTGCTCTTTTGAGATCAGCCCGTTGCCGGGATAAAGAGCCATGCGATGCTTGTGTATTCGTTGCGAGCAATGCCGCTGCTTTCTTTGTTGGAGTTGGCTTGATAGTTGGACTCCTAGCTCGATGTTTGTAGGCTGAACACGGCACCCAGGGTGCGGTCTGATGCAGGTTAAGACAACAGCCCCCCACACCCCACCAACAACCGCCACCTCACTCCACGCATCCACCCCCAACATACTGAAATAGCTGAAGTTGTCGACAGCCGCCCAGCGGTTGCGCATGAGAGACAGGAAAAGTGTTTAGATGCAGATATGCCCGTCATCGCCTGCAAGGTGCAAGGGCCCCCGGTCTGTCTTTGAAGGTAATATTTCGAAGTACAAACAAAGACATTTAGCGGTCGCGGTTATCGGAGTAGATAATGTGCACCAATCAACTGTGCAGTTATAATAGCACGTTTTGCAGGGGACCGCAGGTGGGGGTCGGGGTTCGTGGCAGGCGGCTCCTCGGCCATGACTTGGAGCAGTCGCTTCCTGACATGGCGGATTGGATGAGCACACTGAATCACAATTTTCATGTGGTGCTTCTCAGGGAGAGGATCATGAAGTATTTGCATATTCTGGTACCAAAGCATCGCTCAGAAAAAGTGAAAGGATCCAGATGGAAGGGCCGCGTCATGGAGATCGAAAGCCGTGTCAAGTAAGAAATGCTTGAACCCCGGTGGATATCAATGCCAGGTCAAAGGACCCCACGAAAGCTTCTCTTCTCTGCGCTGACAATCACCGCTAACACTGGGCATGGATCGCGGTGTGCTGCAGGAGAGTGTTTGATGCGTCGTTTCGTAACAGCAAGGCCGCGATCAGCTCCATAGAGGCAAATCAAAAGATCCTCATGGAGCACCTGATGAACCAGAGAGGTGGTGAAGGCCATTCTGCCGCCGCCCTTCCGCCGCTGCCGAGGCATCCGGCCAGCGGCAGCACTCCGCGCAGAACCCTCAGAAGAGGGCCTTCTGGATACGTGCCCATAGATGAAGTGATTCACGAGTAGGGCCGTGCTCGGAGAGGTGCCAGCGGAGCCCAACAGACGCGCAGCATCTCTCGGTGTCACGAATTCCATTGTAGCCATTTGCGTCAGCACCTGTTGCGCAGGTTGTGCCCTGCTGAGCATCGAGCACAAGCACGAGGTGCAGAAACCCATTCTGAAGGATAACGTGCACGGACCTGAGCAGGGGACGGCAGTTTTGACCTGGCTCATAGTTTTCAGCATTCGCCGACGGATTTTTGTGAATTCGATAGAGTGCAGCTGCACATTTGCACATAGATCTGTGGGTGGGAAGGCGCATGTGCAGGGCATAAATTAAGGGAGTAGAGACGAGGTCACCATAGATTGCTGTTCGTGGCACATTGCCTTTACAGCTTGCCAAGCACCGCCTGCACTGCGCTGCTAGTGGGTGGCTGGGACATAACGATTTTGGATAGATCGATTCCACGAGCAGTTGGCGCTGGCGTGAATTTTGTAGTTTTCTTTGCACAGTGAATGAACGTTGTTGCCAGAAGAGCGACGACGAAGGAAATTTGTTTCTGTGCATTGCGAAAGGAGCAATTCGCCACACCAGCGTCGGGGCATGGGGATCCAGATTAATGCTGATGTAAGACCTCAAGTCACATCAACGCTGGCGAATTCAGCGAGTGTCATTGCCTGAGTCATTGTCAGTTGACAAGTAAGGTGAGATTGGGCTTTGCCCAGCTGTGATGAACTTGACAATTCCATGAATAAGCCATCCGAAAAGGACAAAGGCAGCGTGTGTCAATGATATAGGGCCTCCTTTGCGGTCCCAATTAGCATGCTCTGCAGCGGTGGTAATACAAAAACCGTAGTAGATCGCAGACAGCGGCAGGGCAGATCATGCCGAAGCATTGCTCCCTCATATTGCAAACGCAGCAATTCAGATCAGAGGTCCAAGAATTGCGACAGAGTGCATTTCGCTGTTGTGTCGTCCTTGTGGGAAGACGTGAGACGCCGACCCCTTGTGGTGCCCTGGGATGTAGTGGGGTTGGGGGCCACAATGGGCGTTCATGACGAGTTTGTTGCGCTTCTGCCCTTTCCCATGCGCCAACCGCTGGGAATCCATGGATCAGAGATCGTGTACTGTCAGCTGTTTGCCTGGATGCCCATGAGGCCCCACCCTTGCAGCATCTTCCCTGCCAGCTGTCGCCTCTTCTGTGGCTACACTGTGCGAATCTTGGACATTGTGTAGTACTTCACTCCTTGGACCAAACTTAATAACACTGAGAAAAAGTTGCCCATGCAATTAAAAGGCGCCGACGGGCACAAGCCCATGCCACTCCAACACGATGTGACTTTCACGCTTTTTTTATGTGCTACTGTACATCCGCACTTTCACTTCACGAACGATGTGCATCACCATCATGTGCATTCATTGCCTCAAGAATGCCCTGCTTGTCGCTACGCAGTCTTGAAAAAGGTGGCTATGTGCCAAACCGCTGTTCGGTGCCCATGAATCTGTCAAGTGCCCTCTGAAATCCCCTCTGCGTTATTTTGGCAGCTGCCCCGAGATGATATATCTCACTAAACCTTGCATGCCATGGGGGACAGCCAGCTAAACTTAGAGCATCTCCCACCACAAACATGATCTCTGGCTCCAGAATTGCCGACTCGCCAACAGCTTGCGCTATCTGGGACCTCAACTGTCGAGGTTGAAGCTTGGGTCGCTGCTCTAATTTGGTGCACTTAATAGGGTCCTCCACTTTGGTGCTGCCAGTTTGTCCTATGCATGACCCAGATTGGCAGCAATTCAAACTCTCTTTGGAGTCAGCAAACAGACCCAAAGTCTGTGGCTGTAGAGGTTCCAACAACACCTCCCCAGGGATGCTGGCAGGGCGCAGCTGATACCCATTTCGTGCTTCTGCTGGTTGGTCAACTTCCATATTGTTGGCACCAAGGTGCTGTCGTTGTGCTCCACTTGTGAAACTTCCTAGGTTTGTCACAGCCTTCAGGACAGGAAGCAATGAATCATGGCGGGAAAGCATGTGAAGCACCAAATGACCCTCAGGGAGGTGGTGCTGCCTGTCATGGCCTGCATGTGAGATAGTTGGGAATCAACATCCAACTCATCACTGGGGCAAGTGCTGTGTTCACGGTACACCCTGAACTTTGTTGCTGAGGCACAATGTAACTCGCTTCTTTCTTTTTGAGCGATATGAGTGCATCCATGCTGCGGAGGCAGTGCCCAAAAGTACGTGAGCTTAGCAATCTGTGTGCCATGCCATTCGTCAGCCCTCTCCATGACAGCCTTGGGTTTGTGTGACAGACACAGTTTCAAACTGCCTTTTCACCTGTTCCCATTGGCAGCCCCAAATCCCGCTGCAGTCACCTCACAACGAAACGCAATTGTGCACAGGCACAATGACGTCCACACACAGCTTAAGTACGTCCACACTAGGAAGGCAAGCCTGTATTATGTTTGTTCTTTCTTCTAAGAATGTATTCACATTCACACGCAGCATAAGGTACACTGTCTTTGACATGACAGAGGGAAGTTGCATTCCATTCACACACCAATTGCTTTCACTGAATTTGGGCAACCGTAACCTCACCGTATCTTGTGATAGACTCACAGGCCTAAATGTACGGCATCAGAATTGTTCACAGCCACTCAAATAAAAGTAGGGCACTGCCACACAGCGCACAGCTCCCAGCTCTGTTTGCACACAATCGTGCACACTCCATGTGGTGATCAAGACAACATTCGAGTGGTTGTAATTGTCAGCTGAACTGTTCCATTGAGCATTTGATTTCTCGGGGAGCAGTTCTTCAGTGATTGCCACCGCGCACCGTCCAACTGCTGCAAGTCCTGTTGTCCTCTGCAGGAATGACAGTGTTCCTTGGGCTTCGGCAACTCTTGCACGTCCCATCCGAATTTCCATTGAATGTTCCGCTCATCATGCTTGTTCGCCGCTTTCAGAGCACTTCCAACTGCCTCTGGGTTCCTTTTTGCGTGACCTGGCAGATCTTTCCGGTGGGATAGTCAGGTCCCCTCTTCACGACGAAATTTTGCACAACACGGGCAAAACCGGCACAGCACAAACTGCACCGAGCATTTTGGACATCACGAGTTTTGTATCTTTTTCCGCGTTACGCAGCAATCAGAGAACGGAGTTCGTTACGAAGAAAATGAGATAAACCATTATTTCGGTAGCCAAAGCTCTGTCAAGTCTTCGATGCCGGCGCTTGCGGAGTGTGCAGACATTGGCACACCCCAAACACACGCACGCATGGACGCGGAAATGCCTTTCGAGTCGGCGTTGGCTCTCATCAAGTAAGCATTCGCGTCGCCTCGCAGGTGCGCACCAGAATTCACGCCGGGCACGGCACTTATCCGCTCGTGCCAAATTCCTTAGTTTCAGTCTCCCTGTGAAAGACGAAGCGGTGCCCCTGCACATTATCCCCTCAACCGCGGCAAGCAACCTCCCACGCCGTATCTCACACACCAGCAACCCCGCTCCCGCGCCCTCACCTCTGGGATCATAAACGAACACGTATCTCATCCCCGCCCGCGCGCACCACATGATAAGGTCCCCAATCCTCTCCCAGCAGGCCCTGCCCGGCCGCGTCTCCGTCACGACGATCGACACCACGCTCGGCGCCTTGGGCTTCACTCCGTGAGATCCCCCAGATCCCCGACAGCCTCGCATCCCCGCGCGGACGTCCAGGGCGGCTGCCAACCTGGGCGCCAAGATCGCCAGCCATGGCGTGAAGGATTGGATGAGGTGGTGGGCACACGCCGCGACGAAGAGCAGGGCCAGCGCCAGCGCTCGGCACAGTCTGGCGAGCGCGTCCGGTCGGCGGGCGCGGCAGCCAGCGGGTGGCGCTGCGACTCGCGGCCGGAGGGCCATGAGTCCGCGCGGGTGCGTGCGCAAGATGTGGGGGCGAGGGCTTGGCGGGGAGGTGGGGTCACGCATTAGGGAAGAAACGGTTTGCTACGCACACGCACTGGGTGTGGGGGACCAGTCGCTTCCTGCTGCGTCAATTGGCGTCATTCACCGCCAATGCGCGACACAAAGCACGCACAGCTGTACCCGGGGGCTGCAACATATGGGTCGATGCACAGGGACACGGGACATTTGGTGGAAGGAATTGCCTCACAACCCCGGTGGTTCGGCCACTGCTCGGTAATTCTGTTGTCACAGGTGCGTGTGTTTCTGCGGTATGCCCATTTAGGTCTGACAACCATCTCTGCGACATTCCTTCCTCATGAGTTCACACCGCTCACTCGCATCTGCGGGTGTTCAGCCCAGGTGCAAGGGTTTGCAATGCTCCCTCAGCTGCTGCGTGCACTTGTTGTCAGTGGGCCAGCAGTCACCACCATACAGTTTCCCCTTTTCGTAGACGCCAAAAGAATGCCAAAATTACTGTACAGCAGCGACGTTCCAGCCAGCGTCTAGGGCCAAAGCAAATCCTGGGCTATGCGTTGCACCAAGCTTTGTTTACCGATTGACAGATTTACAAATTCCACACATCCTCAAACTTCAATTCTCACTGTCACACAGCTACAGTCACCAGCCTTCATGAGCCCATCCAGTCCCCCCCAAAAACATCTGGGCTAATTTGGCATGTCACGTTGTAGCAGCAGCCACAGTCCAGAGCAAACTTCGGCATCAGGATCAGACTGGACAGCCAAGAAGTGAAGGCCCCTGTGGAAGCAAGACAGGCCAGCTGCTCTATTGATGGATCAGCTTTGCAAATGCGACTCAAACAATGCTCAGTCAAGAAACAACATCGACAGAGCATCAGTTGCCACGCTGGATGCAGTGGACGCAAATGCTGGGCAGCCAACCAACGCCAAGACACATGCGCTGTTGTGCCATGGGCATGATGAGACCATCAGATGAGCAGCTGCCAGAATCTCTACCATACAATTTGCAGAACATGGCTCGGGATGTGCTGCATCATCTTCACTACAAATTACAGCCAGCAGCCTTTGTCATAAATTCAAAAATATTGGACTGAGCAGGCAAATAGCACTGTACGTTGGCACCTCTGTTTGGTCAGGACTGGTCAGGGCACCCCCACAGCTGCAAGACCATCAAAGATGGCAGTTGCAGCAATAATGTGGTTACGCACCTTGCCTCCTCTTTGGCTTGCTCCCAGGCAAGTGCCTCAGCAGTGGTGCCTTCTGACCGGGCGTATGCTGCATATACGTACCGTTCGTTCACGCCAGTGTCCAGAATCAGGCAAGCTCGGTCGGTGTCTGCACACACTGTGGCGATCTCCAAGCCATTCATCCATGCTGCAAGCGGCTCAGCTCGTTGGCTATACAAAGAGACGCCTGGGAAGCACGGATAGTGGTGTGAAGGCCGTCTTTTGTAATGGCAGACTATCATGGAATAGACATGTGATTGTACTTTTGCGATGTTGGTGCTGCATGTGTAACCAGTTTTAGGTTGGGTGCTTTCACTGCCTCGTCCTGCCCCAACAGTGGTGAGCAAGCAACCTCCTTTGCAAGATTCTCACAGCGTACAGTATGTCTGTGAGATTCCTGGGGCCAGGATGTTGATTGCAGTGGCCCACAGGGGGCCACAACGATTGTCAGCCAAGTGTGGCCATGTGCAAGGTCATACAGGACATGCTCTAGCAACAACGTGTGTTGTATGAAAAAGGGATCACAACAACCTCTCATCGGCATTCCATAACGAAACCACAGCAGCCAGAACGAAACTTGGAGGAAGGTATCGAATGGGAAAAAAGTGCCAATTCAAACACGACAGCCTGTCTCCTGTATGGCATCCTGCCACACGAAAATCACTGATGATAACAAAAGTGGATAATGCAAGTGGATACCACTATATTGGATGGCCAAAAGCGCTTAGTCGCTCCAAGGTGTACAACAGAAACTCTGCCAGATGTGAAGACATGGCGGTGAATGGTAATTCCAGATAGAAACTGCAGGGAATCAAACCGTACCTTCATTTATGCAAAATCAATGCAAGACTACAATGAACTGCCTGAAGCTGTGACTATGCTTACATCCCACAAGAAGCACACAAAAGCCAAGCAACGTGTCGCATACCAGAACCATTAGCATATTACACAGGACAATACAGCACACACCCATTTGCAGAGTAACGACTCTCACTATCTACGTTCCGCAATTTACCTGGTATCATGGTTTCCTTAGGAAGCCCAGCAAGACCAACATCATTCAACGACAGTGTGGCACCAAAGTAATTCTTCTACTGAGGCACACGAAGGAGGCATCATTCAGCTCAATATAGTGCAACTCGCTCCAAGCTGCCAAAATGTAAGTGTCCCAGAGTCACTGCTCAAACATTGTGCGTGTGGACTGTGTGCGTACATGTGAGTGTGCTTATGAAATATGCAATGTTTGGGAACTGATGCACCTATCATCATTGCTTGGTATAGAGGCATCGTCCATTCACGTGATTTTGAGTCCTCAATCCAATGAGCTCATCATCTTTTGGTGGTCACTGCAGGGCTTTATCACGATGTTGGTTGGATAGTGCCGTTGGAATGGATGGAGTGGTATTTTGCAAGGCACTGTTCGAGGCAAAAAAGAACCATGCTGGTGCGAGCTTTGATGTAATGCTCAGTTGCACAGAACCCCGACATCCAAGAACCAATGATCACACCATGCTCAGGTTTTGCACTGCATTCCGGCTTCCCTACAACAGTGGATAAGGGGCCACTGTATGGGACACCATGGCCAGCAAATTGCCTGACAGCTGGGGAGATGTCTTGCTATTTTGGCAACTCTTTGGTACAACCCACCACACACAAACATTGCACAAGTGTTCACCACTATCGCTCCAGAAAGCAATTCAGTTCCTGCACATGTGCAACTTACAAGTCGATGCAAGTGCCCAGCGCTAGATATTTTCGGAACTTGTATTCAACAGGCGATGGATGACCAGGGACATGGTGAATTTTACTGTACTCTGCCCTAATATCGCTTACCTCTTCAACCTCCTTCATTTCCCCAAGCAAAGTGCCAAGGGGCAGCTGCACAAAGTTCCATGCCTCAGCATGGTAAGCATCTGGAAGTGCCTGTGCACCACAAAGCAACCCTCAATACTGACAGTCTCACAGCAGAAAACACTCCTCAGAAGTGATACCAACAGCACCATCCCACCACAAGGGCTTGGGGAGGGCTGTTGAGGGTTAGGGAAACAAGGAAAAAGTGAGCAAGTGAGCAAGCAAGCCCCAAGCACCACAGCCTCATAATCAAATGACCATGTTCAACAACTGCCCAGTACCGAGCACGAAGCAAGGAAGCCAGCTGCGCTTGTTTGAATTACATAAGTGAGGAGAGGATATTTAATGCTCAAGCGTACCTCAGGGGCTGCCAAGTCGAAGGTGAATAGGGTCTGAGCTTTTTCACTGTATCGCGGGTCATTCTTGTACACTGTTTCCTGTCTCTCTTGGAGCCAGCCTGCACATCGCAACCAGAAAGTCTGCAACAGGCTGCTGCATCGCAATTTGTGGGCCGCACAAAATGCGATTTCAACCCTTTGCACAGGTTGGGTATCTACACAAGCAGCAGGAAAGCAGGAAATGTATTTCTCTGAGAATCCTGGCAATTTTTAATGGGCAACTCAATTTCATAACTCGGTGCTATGTCTTGACACTAAACTCGTGTTGCAGGTAAGTACAAGGACATTGCTTCCATCTCTGAAAGGCACATGGTTTCCCCTGAACGAACTGTAAACAGACTGCAACTGCTCTGCAGAAGGACAGTGCTGAGATTGTTGAGCCTACCCCTTCAGCCGGACCACATTCACCATCTGGCGAGCAATAGCACTGGAAGTAGACAGACTGACTGTACACGGGATCGATGCACACAGTGAAGTTTTCCAGTGTCCCATTCCGATGCAAAGGGGGACAACGGCCCCCAAGTACGCTGTTGCTCTTGCAGTTAGCTCAAATATGCACATTCCTCTGTTGGAGCGCATTGTCGATACTAAGCGAGACCAGGGATGCCTGGTTTATAGCCTGATCCCTTCAACGCCCTTTTCCAGTCCCCACCGCGCGAACGCAGGCGTACCCATGACAGCAAAGCATCGCCGACTGGGCACCGCATCAATCCCCATGTCTCCCAATGCCCTCGAGATGATCGTCTTCATTTGGCCGCGGAAGTACCTGGCCTTCAGCGGCACGACGGAGCCCTCCCTCGACAGAATCCGCTCAAAGGCCTTCCGCAGCTGCGCGCAACACACGGCGAGGAACCCCACCGATTAGACACCGGGCTTGGCGATCGCGCGGCCAACCACGCGAGGCGACCGCCCCAGGCGCGGGGCGCACGGCCCCTTGGCCCCTGAGCGCCCTGCTGGTAGCCTGGCGAACACGACCCCAATGGGCGCCAACCATCTGCGAGATGTCTGTCCTTCCATCAGACAAAACATCGCCCCCGCATCAAACCTCCGATTTGCTGCAATGCGCCGCTCACCTCCCCGCTGTTGATCTTGTTGTTGGGAAAGTACTCCGAGTGCTGGAAGCTGCGGTCGGCGCTGCACACCAGCAGCTCCCACACCTTCTTGCCCCGCTCGTCCAGCAGCGGCCGCGAGCAGAAGTCCACTTCCCACTCGCTGGACGTCGACACGGCCGGCGGGGCCCCTGGCCCATCCTCCGCCGCCTCCGCCACGCTTCCCTCCTGCAGGGCGCTGCCGCAGCGGCCATGGCGCCTGCCATCGCGAGCCGTGTCGCTGCTGAGCGTCGCTGATGGGTTCAATGCCTTCGACTGGAGGCAGCGAGGGGGGGGCTTCTCGGGGCGCTGCCATGAGAGGGCTCTGGGCAGGTGGAGGCGCCCGGCCTGGGGGCAGGAGCACGCAGAGTGCGCTCGAGAGGCCCCCGCGCTCGCCATGGGCACGCACCTGGCGTGACCGCTGCCTGTGGTGGCTGGTTGCCCACCGCGCACAAGACAAAACTAAACGGCAAAAATTGGGCGCAATCCCGGAAAATTATTGGGACTCGAGTGCGAGAATCGAAAGTACCGTTCTCGAGCATCTTGTCCGCGAAGTGCGTGCAAGTCAGCGGCCCCAAACTGGGAAAAGTTTGAGTCCGCAGAAATCCGTCCGATGGGCCCGCGTGAGTAACGTACGGCAGGATGGGGACGCCCGACGTCTTGTACACGGCCCAGGCCCTGCGCCCATGTCAAGGCGCCGTAGTTGGGCGTCGGGACTGGCGTCCCACGGCCCAGCGGCAGCGGCCGGGGGCCTCCACGCGGCGGCAGCGCCCGCCCAGCTATGCCCATCTCGCCGGCGGCGCGCAACGGCCACGCGGCGCCACCGCCAGCCGGGCCGCCGCGGGCTTGACGGGCCCAGCGGCGGGGCCGCAGCATCGGGAGGAGCCCCTCGAGGGGGTGGCCCCACGTGGGGCGGGCCACGCCGATGGATCCGCGCCGCGCGCCCCTCCTCGCGGCCTGCCTCGGCTTGCTCCTGCTCACGGCCGCGCCGGCGCGGTGCCTGGCGGAGAGCCGAGATGCCATGAGCGACGGTGAGCGGCTCCCCACCCTCGCCTGTGGTTTTTGATGTTATCCTCGTACGCTGGATGCGCTCCGTGGGGGGCGGAGGGCTGGGAAAGGAGGCGCGCTCGGCGTCCAGACGTGTGCCGAAGTTTGATCGGGGGGCCGCGCTTTGGCTCGCTGTCTTCGGGATCCCCTGCGGCGGAGCGGGCGAGCCCTGAGGGGCTGGCGGTGGCGTGCTTTGGGGTGTACTGCGGCTTCGGGATCGCGTCGCGCGTGACCGGTGCGATCTCGGCAGTTCTCGGGGCCTTGGCCAGCTTGCCGTTTGTGTTGCCGTTGTGGGGGCATCCCCTGCGCCTCCTCGTCTGTCCCGCGCAGGGGCGCGACGCCGGGGCGGGCATGCCCTGCCGATTATCTCTTGAGGTCCGCGCCGCATTCGCCGCACCGTGGGCGGGGAAGTGTCTGGTGAGGCAAAGATTGGGTGTGGCCAAAAGAGCTGGACGAGGATGTCGGATGCGTGCGCGGGGTGAAGGCGCCGTGGGGGGAAAGAGGGAGCGGCGCTCAGCAGCCGGGTGGTGTGTGGGGGCGTGCAGGAGCTAGCTCGGACGGCGCCAGCGGCAGCAGCGGGCCGATCGGCGGTGCGGGAAGCGGATGGCCGGGGCACGTCAGAAGGCTCCGGCAACAGAACTTGGTTTTGATCACACAGGTACGGCGCCCGGACTGTCTCTGAGGGTGGCAAGGTGTCCTGGTAAAGGGACTGGCTCGGTCGGCTGCCTGGGCCCGGCGCTGCGACGCGTTGATTGACACTCGAGGGGCTCGTTGATCGTTTGCCTGTCCACAGGGGCCTTCTGCAAATTCATTTTCAAATAAAGGCGAGGCAGTTATCCATTTCGTCGTGGAAGGTTTCTACACCATGACGGTGTGCTCGCTGCAACTCGAGGGCGAGGTGCTCTGGGGATGGCACGAGTGCAAGTCGCCGTATGAACTAGAGAACCTGAGCCAGGACGGTAGATACACTTTCGAGATTCAGGTGTGTGAGAGCCGAGCGTAGACCCTTGGACTTGCACTCGCCTTGAAAGGGTGAAACAGTGCTCTTGCACCTTCAAGACGATGGCAGCCAGTGAAACACCCAAACGCTCTCTTTTCGTTGCACTCCGCTGTTGTTGGGATTCTTCTTTCATTGTCTCTAACAGCGTCAAGCGAAGTAGCATGCACTTGAGGGCGATGGCCTTTGTTGGACCTCATGTTCCCCGGGTACAAATCGTTGACCAGACAGATGGAATTCTGTTCGAACTTTGGGCTTCTTGGGGTTGCCGCAGCATGGCTGCGTTTTTTTTTTGTATTGGTCGGGGAGGTACATCAGCACAGCTGTGTGCTTTCTCATCAAGAATTTTGATGCTTTGGTGACTGGGCCTCACCAGTTGCTTGTGTGTTTGGCGGTTCAGGCTCTAGTCGGCAGTGGGCAGAATAGTGCATCAGAGACGCACAATCCCAATGGTGGCAGTGCATCTGTCAGCTGGATAGTGGACCAGGTGCCACCAGACACGCACTTTGTGGGTGATATGCCTAGCAAGGAAACAAAAGAGAACTTTGCAACTTTCAACTTTGAAGGAACAGATGGTTTGTTCGACGTTGAACGCTTTGAGTGCAGTTTTGACAGCAGGGCATGGGAGGACTGTCAAAGTGGCATCAAATTGCAGGTGAGCAGGTGTGCATCTGGTTGGGGCGGAATTGGACTGGGGGGAGGTAAGGGGAGGGGTGCTTACCCGCGGCCATGCTGTTCTGCTGCCCTGCGGCCATGGCAAGGATGGTCACTGGCACTGATGTCCTTGCTGGTGGTCGGATGGCTCCAGTGCATTTTGGCTTATTTGCCAGCATATGTTGAAGCATCAACAGCTGTACATTGGGTGTGTTGCAGGGCTTGTCTGTTGGCCTCAACACAATACGAGTACGAGCAGTTGACCGGGCAGGGAATGTGGATCCCACCCCAGAGCGTTTTGGCTGGGTCGTTGGCCCAGCACCCGATCGGCCACTCATCGGGTCTGACGGTGTTCTGGTAGAGAAGGGGACAGATGGGGATCCTGATTTTGGAGGCGGCTTTATTGGTGTCCCAACGGATGGATCTGCTTCTGAGCCTGGGGAGCCACAAGTGCCACCTGCCACTGGGGTTGGCGACACTGCTTGGACTGCCAAAATTGAAGATGGGCTTGGTGATGCGGCAGAGATGGCTGAAGAAAACGTGTTGGCGTCTGTGGGCATTGCAGCCGCATTGCTGGCGTTGCTCGCAATGTGCTGCTGTTGGGTGTGTGTGAGATGTCGAAAATCGCAGGCCAACAAGTTAGGGCAGCCCCTGGTGGACCTGGAACAGCAGCTGGGAAACGTGCGGCAGGGTCAACCCGCCCTGGGAAACCATGGGACTGTTGGGCCAGAGGTTGATGGATCCCAGATCAAAAATCTGCTGCAAGAAAGCCTCCCTGACAAGTGCAGGCGTTTCAAGTACAGCGAACTTTCTGATGCAACTGGCGGTTTCCGAGAGGAGAGCATGCTGGGGGAGGGGGGGTTTGGCAAGGTTTACCATGGCGTGTTGAAGGATGGCACGCAGGTGGCGGTGAAGAAGCTTGAGAAAGGGTAAGCAATGTCTTCCTGCATTTGTGGATGCATAGTGGCTGACTAGCATTGATCTCAACTTCCTGCACATTGTGGTGGGCTTCTTTCCACACCAGCTTGCTTTTGGACCAAAGCTACAGATGTGTGGGCCTTAGAATTGGAGATGGGACATATATAGGGAGCAGATGCGCTGCCGCGTACAGTCTACTGGCGATTTTCCGATTTGCCTGTGGCAGGATGTCGCAAAAGGGAATCATCAGGCTTGTTATGCGTGTCCAAAAGTGCCATCAGCAATAGGGATGTCATTCACGGTGTTAAGGGACATGGTGCTAAAATATACTTCCTTTGTCGCATATTTATTGTCGTCTATTTGAAAGACAAAATTCACTACAAAAAAGTCCTTAAAATATGTACAAACACAGGCCATAATCGAAAGATTGGATCCCGAACCCTTCACTACCAATTTTCAAAGAAGAAGTGAGATCCGACCCCTTTGAGCGTGGGGCAAAAGGTAATTATTGCTCAATTTTTAGCGAATTATTCGAGGTTTACCCGCTAAAAAAACTCTTGCTACAAACTGATGCCAATTCCTCAATTCTCAATGAATTGGCTTTATTATTTGACCACATACTCCAAACTCATAAGCACAATTCTGGACAAAATTCCATTAGAAAATAAAGCTTTTATGATGCACCAAAATCATATGTGACACTTAGTATGGGACAGAGGAGGTGTGAAGTGGTCATCTGAACCCCTGCATGCGATTGCTGGAAGGAAAAGTTCTTGTTTAATTTGCTACTCCTCATATTCTACGTTCTCATCCTTGGCTAACTGTATGGACGGCTTGCTGTGGTTATCCTGCAGGGGCCAGCAAGGCGACAAGGAGTTCTACATCGAGATCTCCACACTGTCCAAAAAGTGCAACAGCCCAAACCTTGTCAGGCTTCTGGGTGCGTGCGTAGAGGACAATCATCGGCTGTGTGTGTTCGACCTCATGGAATGGGGCAATCTTCGAGACCTGCTGGATCGCAGTGACACGAGGCTGAACTGGGAGGGAAGGGTCAAAGTGGCAATTGATGCAGCCAAAGGGCTGTTGTACCTGCATGAGGGGGAAGGTCTTGCCATTGTCCACAGGGACTTCAAATCGGAAAACATTCTGCTGGACAGATATGGAGAGGTGAGTCAGACAGGTGGAATGCTTGCGCTGGTGCTGGACATGGACTCCTGTCCATCCGAAACGAATCTCCCTCACTCGAGCATTGTCATGGGAATTGAAACAAACATAATGCTGCCCAGTCACCTAAAAGGCAACCCAGGGCCTAATGCACACACTGCCCAAGTGATTTCCTGGCAATTTGACCTGTCTTTTGACTTGAACACAAAATGCCTGCAGTGGAACAAGACAACACCTTCCAAATGCAAAACTGTTTGCAGACGCCTGCTTTTGATTGTCCGGTTGGACCTCGTTTTGTTCACAAAGTGGTTGTGATGCTGTGAATATAAGTCTGACTGTTCCACTGTGATCATCAGGCCCATATCTCGGACTTTGGCTTGGCAACAACAATGCAGAAGAGTGCACATTCCAGGCACAGCAGGCGATCATCCTCCACAGCCCATTCCCAAGCGATTATGGGGACATTTGGTTACGTTGCCCCAGAGTATGCCACCACAGGACGTGTCACCACCAAGTCAGATGTTTACTCTTTTGGGGTAGTTATGCTGGAGTTGCTGACGGGCCGCCACGCAGTTGACATGAAGCGGCCAGAAGGCGAGCAGCACCTGGTGCAGTGGGTACTGCGGAGGAAGGACACCCTGGATGGGATCATGAAGTCTGCCGACCCAGCCTTGGAAGACCAGGCTTCGGGTGTGCAGTTGGCAGCTTATGTTGAGGTAGGGGTCGCTGCCAGCACATGTCCAAATGCTGCCTGGATGGGCTGGCTTCAGCCTTTTTGCGGAATGAGTTAGACAGCACAAGGCACTGTTTGCATTTGTCGAACATGGCATAGGTCTGCGCTTTCACCTGTTTATTCGCGAAATGAGCAGCAGAAAGCTGCACTTGCCTTGCCCTGGACGACTGCTTTGGGCTGTTCATTTGAGGACAGGCTTGTACCACAGCAGATGTGTCTTGTCAATGCATGCACTCCTTCAGTTCTACAAGCCCCTGCCCATCCCAGTGTCCCCCCGTGGAGAAGTTTTCTCCTTGAGATTGCCTTTTGACATTCCGCTGCTTTTTGCCTTGCAGCTGGCTGCCACTTGCTTGCTCACAAATCCACAGGAGCGGCCGACAATGTCCGCAGTGACTGTTGCCCTTGAGCAGCTCAGGAATTTTGGCCCCGATGAAGAGGGCTTGCTAAGCAACTCCAAGCGATCACTGCTGCAACTTGACAGAAAGTCGTCAACGTCGTGCGCGCCTGCCCCAAAAGTGCCTCCTCTCCCCAGGCTGCCCTCCATCCCAGCTGGCCAGGAGCCAGAGGAGTTCCACAGCAGCCGATCAGCGCACCCCGATTCGGAACCCAAGGGCGAGGGGCAGCATTCGACGGGCGCCAGCCCAAACTTGGATGTGGTGGGAACTCAGCAAATGGGTGGCGTGGTGGTGGGCAAGGCTGTGCAATGGGTGCGTTTCGAGGGCGGCACTTTGGAGAAGATCAACAGGTCCCACTCAGACACTGTTGTGAGCCCCGACGAACTGCCAGATCCAATAACATCGGTGCAGAGCGCAGGGGAGCTGGGGCAGGGGTGCAACGCCACTTGGGGATTCGATGCCGAACTGCAGGGCGGAGTATTTACTGCTGGGGCGCACCTCCCCATTGTGGCGGCGTTTGGAAGTGCTGCAGTGCTGGGCGAAGCAGTTCCCGGCCCAGCAGCTGCGGTGGACGCTGACCACCCAGTTCCAGGCGCAGCCGCGTCAGCAGCAGGCTCCAAGGCCACACCCCTGGCGTCAGAGGCCAAGCTTGAAGGTGCGGCACTGGACAACGGTCAGCAGCAGGCGCAACCTTGACCGAACCGAGCTGTGTACATGTCGCAGGATGCGTAGCGCCATGCGATGTGGTGTATAGATAATCTGATTGGGACCACCAAGGTCCGGCCTTGCACTTATGGAATTGTGTGTACCTTCGGATCTGCTGTCCTCGCGCCCAGCTGGTGTGCGAATCTGGCAGTCCTGGCCGCAACGCTGCCTACTGGTGTTGATGTTCGCCTGGGCCGGCCACTGTGGGGAGACCATGAAGTGGGGTGGGCTCCAGCCCTTGCGCATTAGGGGACTGGTGTGGCGCACCAACAACTGATTCGTTTGGCTTGCATCTGGCAATCAGTGCCCAGGAGTGTGGCTGTTTCACTGGAATATCGCGGCCAGCTGCTGGCACAGGTCTGTACCAGCCAAGGCGGTTGTGTTGGCGTCTTTGCACGGGCGCCACTGTCCTAGCATGGCACTGAACTTTGCGGAGATGCGACGGGATGGGGTGAGGATCGCGAGGAGCGAGGGGCGGTGAGGGGGAAGGGATGCGACTTCGTGCGCGATTCCGTGCCACAAGCATGGGCCACTTGTCGCGCGATCCTGTATAAATGGGCGGGGCGCCTGTGTTAGCGGGGCTCCCTGCAGGGCTCGGCGAGACAGAGGAGGAAGCCTGGAACACATGCGCTGTGTACGATTCTTTGTCCTATGCCGTAGAGGCCTGCACTGGGGTGGCCAGGGGCGTGGGTGCGCTTTTGTATTCGGACATTTCTTGTAGACGGCTATCAGGCTGCGATTCCTGTCCTGTGAACGACTGCGACAAGGGGAACGGGGAGCGCTGCTGCCGTTTTGTGCCTACCCTAAAGACCATGGTTCCGCACTATGGATAGTGAAATCAGCGATGGCTGCGCCCTGCGCACCAGTACATTGCGCATGGTTTGTCCGCAACTGTTGCCCCTGTAATTCCAGCTGATTGCGTCGCAGCTCCACCCTTGTGGATGTCGGTGGACTTGCTGCATACTGATTTCCTTACAATTGCGAGGAAACCATGAACTGGTCTCTAAACTGAAGGCTCTCACAATTCACGAGGGCGGCCTGGCAAATTTTTTGCGTGGTGCACCGAGCCCTGGCCTGCGCCTCTCACTTCACGCCGTCCCAATGACTATGTGCCGGCTCGTTTCCTTGCACCAATTCTAATGTCATCATGCACGCCCACACTTCGCCAACGATCCGAGGGCAACCCTTTCGCCAGATCACCATCCCTCACCCCACTACACGTACATCGCTGGCCCACCAGCCAACGGGCAAGGGCCCCTGCGCCCCCTTCATTCTGTCTTCCTCTCAGTAAGGTGCATACCTCCCCTGAGCGAGGCGCCTCCGGGCCCTAGGATCCAGGGCGCTGCTCCCCCTCCTGGGTCCACAGTCTTGGTCCCCCCATCCCGACTCGTCCATGAACTCCAAGTCCCCAGGATGGGGCCCACCATATACATGCCCCATCGCATCGCCCTGGTGGCCGTTCCCCATGCTGTGGGTGTTGCTGCTCCAGTCCGGCAGCGGCTCCTGCGGCCCTGCCCAGCCACCACCCCCCCATTTCCTGTACCCTATGTCGTCTTCCATACAGCCGTCCATTCCCACACAACTGCCGCGGCCGCCCCGCCCCATGTGCCCGTGCATCCCGCCCCTCCAGCCATACCTCCCCCCCACCATCCCATTTCGTCCCTCGCAGCCAATACCGTTCATCGGCATCCTGTGGTTGTGCATTGGCCCTCCCCGGCCGCCCATGCCCTGACCCATGTGCATGTCTCCACTCGTACCTGCATATCGGCCCTCAGGACCCTGTCCATTGGGCGGCTTGCCAGCAGTCACAAGACCCAGCGCAGCAGCTGCGACAACACAGGGGACACCGAGTTAAGTTTGAGCGCTGCTAGCAAGAAGATTATGTGGGGAAGAAAAACCCAAGATTTCGCAGAAAGAATCGAATAGGAAACCCAAAGTCGCACACAGCAAAGCGGCTGGCAAACACTGCCAAGGCATGGACTTTCTATGGAAAAAATGCAGCAGCCTCGTCTGGTGCTGGAGCAGGTGCAAGGGGCAGGTGCTGGCAGCAGTGGAGAAAGGGGACGCAGTTTCAGATGCCATATCAGGCATGTGGCACAACTCAACTACCTCAGCCTCCCAAGCCAATGCCGTGGGGATAGTGAGGCTTAGACCATCCATAATTTCCTCATACAACAGCTGACCAACGGGCTACGAACGTGCAAAGCCAGTATTGAGTCTTGGCTATAGATTTTCCGACTGGCCACATTTCGCCACTCTCGGCAATAAACTGCAGTGTGCACTCCGCCAATAGTAAGGGGCTGCTGTAAACTGGATATCCTTTTCTGCAAGCCTCTTTTGCTGTGAGTAGTTTGGGTCTCCAGTGTGGGAGCACACAACGCCATTCACCGATATGCAGGTGCATGGGTACGAATTTCTGACATCCGAAAGCATAGTGAAACTCTCAGCTCGGAGGCTGCCAAGTTGTCACCTCTTTGTCAGCCGATCTTGGGCTGCTCGAGATGACAACGAGATGCACACACAGATTTGGCATTCGCCCCCTTGTTGTTCTTGAACCAAGCAGGTCACCATGCCATAATCACAAATGGCAACGCTGTGTATCTTACCAACTGCATTTGACGCCATTGTTGCCTCCACTGCAGCCTTTGCATTTGCTTGGTTGAAGCTCTTCTGGATTGCGTGAGCGCGGGAGCGGTGCTGCATGCCTTTGGCCTGCACCACCTACACATGGACCAGATAATCACTGTCGACAACCAAAGGGGAATGTCTTGTCATCTGCAGGGAGAATAGACAGTGGCATGCACCCTTGAACACGCCTTGCCATCATATGGATAATGTGTGGTCGTCGCCAATTGAAGGCACTGTGGTATGTGCCATGCCTGCCCTATAACTGTACTTGGGTTTGTCTGCTTTGCGTTGGAGTAAGTTGGGTTGAGTGGGTGACTGGGTTGGGTTTGAAGGAGGGTAACAAAGGGGGTGGGGTGGGGAACGGTGGGGGGGAGTACCAAAGATTTCCTGCCGCAAAATATGAATACTGTGCATTCTAGCAGCAGCCCTAGGAAGGATACGTCTCACTTTGTGGCACAGTGTTGCAGAGATACCAACCAATTCAATTCCTTTCGGATGGGGTGCGATGGCTGCACACAATATCTGTCTCATCGGACATTTCTTCCACTTACATTTTCTTTGGTTTGGCAAGCCTAAAGGAAAGTGGTTTTTAATCAGTCGAACATATTGACACACCACAGAAGTTGCAACTGCCAACAACAGGAAGCCCTCTTGAGAAGCATATCACAGTCGCAATCCGCACCAGGCCATCATAAAATCTCATCAGCGTTCTTCCATCCTTCACGCTCCAATCACTATTGTCCTTCCCCAGAAGCACCTGAATCCCCAATGGGTTGAGTGTCTCATTGAGCTTCTGCAGCAGCAATGGCTGTACAGAAGAGCAACACAAAATAATTCACGCCTCAGCCATTCAGAGTTCACACCACACAATGTCTCTGGGTTTGCATGCAAGTTAAGCAGCAAACAAGAAAGCTGCCTTGAAGCATGAATTGTATGTGCACAAAGACAGCAGCCACCACTCTGGTGCTTGCTTGAGGCTAAACATACCCTGAGAAGTGCGCCTTGCCTGCAAGTTATGAACTTGACATCCCATGCAACACACAACACACTCCAACAGGGGCACAGCCAGGCTAGTAGTGGTAAGCTGGCAGATGCCACTGGAACAGTGTTGGAGGCAATCGCCAAAATTCTTACAAAATCAATTCACTGCATTCACTGTTTCATAAAGGCATGAACACAAGAACCACTGGCCGTGAAACCGCTTGGCGACCATGCTGTTCCTCACATCGATGTGGGGGGATCTTTTGCACATGAAGTGAAAAATCAACTATGGTACACATATACAGAAACCAACAACCAAATGTGCAGCGACCAGCAAAGAGGAAACCATGCACTTACACTTTTTTCCCCACCGCTGCTCAGCACAACGTCCCCATTTTCTTTTACCTGCAAAGGCACAAAATTGACAGCCACGAGCTCAGTGAAAGGCAACAGCCTGCCAGCAGAGAATGCATCGGATTCTGATTGCACAGTGTTCATTCTGGACCTTGACTTCTGGAGGTACGAAAAGTTGCTTTTTGCCTGCATCTTGTCCAATGCAACATTACATACACCCAGTTGCCACAGCCAAGGTCACCCTCTCTTAAGGTGCTGATATGGAAAGGCTATCCTGTGAGTGACACACAGCCGATTCACACTGCAGCTTGATCTTTGTGTAAGTTTATTCACACTGTATCACATGTCATCGACAGGTGAGCATGCACTCGTCTTCACAGTTGATTGACTGTGGTACCTATGTCACTGAAATCTTGGTGGCAGCGGCAGCAATTCCTGGAGTCATGCCTCACGTCCTTATGAGACCATGGCCAGTGCGCTAGTTGCAAGCCTGTTCAACCAGGTTCCACTATTAAATTTACAAACAAGCTTCCCACAGACAAATTACCAAGGTTCCTGTCAAAACATCGACAAAAATTCATATCCATCACAACATAGTGCCAGCAAGAGTCAGAACATGTCAGCCAACAAAGCACAAACCCACTTTTATGATTTCAGTGTCTCTCAACTTGATGATGACATCTGTTCCAACAGTTGTCAGGGTGCACTTCTCCCGAGCCTGTGACAGTCAAAAGGCTATGTGAGTCCAGCACAGAACAGCTGCCCTGGAGGTCTTCCCATCGTCATTAACATTTTCCACAACCCAAAGATCCAAAGGCCAAGATGAAGCGACAAAGTCTGGGTGCACAAATGTGCGGCACATAAGATGGAATTTGATGATGGGCACTTGTATCCCAAATGTAACGAGGCAGAATCGTTGACAGCAGGAATTGTTCCCTTCAAGCAAAGGCATGCGCATCCACTTGTCGTGCGATGCCACCCAGGTCCCCCAGTAGCAAAGTCCATTACGCAATCACGGCAATTACACATTCAGCGGCAAGGCCACGGGCAGATTTCCTGCCGGGGCCACGGCATCTCAGTCACCCCAACCCCGTCCCCGCTCCTCTAAACTTATATTCAGAGGTCCATCCTCCGTTTCAATCCACGCCAGCCCCCGCCCCAACCCCATTCTCGCGTCTCCCCCCACCTCCGCGGCCCTCATCTCCGCTGCCCGCCTCTCCGCCGCCCTCATCTCCGCCGCCCTCGCCTCCGCAGCCCTGGCCTCCGCCGCCCGCACCCGCCTGTGCCTCTCCTCCCACTGCGCCCTCCGCATCGCCTCCGCCTCGAACCTCCTCCCGCCGCCGCCCCTCGGCGGCCCAATGCCCCCCGCCCAACCCCTCTCCTCCCTCGCCCCCCACCCCCCCCAGCCCACCCAGGTCTCCGGCCGGTTCCAGCCATTCCTGCCCCCCCTCCCCATCCCCCCATAGCCGCCCATTCTCCGCCCCCTGAATCCGCCGCCCTGTCCAGGGCCCCCCCTTCCGGCTCTCCGGCCCCCGTCCCTGGCCTCCTCGCCCCTGGCCGGCCCTGGACCTGGCCCAGGCGACGCAACCCCCTGGGGAGATTTCGCAGGCCCAGTCTGCCGGCGGATGATCTCCTCCAGGCTCAGGTCCAGCCCCTCTGGCTCGCCATGCCGGGAGGCCATCGCGGATCCAACCAAGCCCAGGGGTTCCCGCGTCGATGGCCCGTCGACTAAGAAAAGAGCCCGCCGCTGAGGGGCCGTGACGGGGGCAGGGGTGGTGCTTGGGATGGGATCGCCCGACCAGCCGGGGGCGGCGGGCGATCAGGGCCGAGTCTCCGGTGCCTGCGGGCCGGAGGGCTGCCGCGAGGGCGGTGGAGTTGGGAAGGCACCGCGGGCTCGGGGCCAAGGGGGCGCAGGGCGCGTCGCCGGAACGCCGAAACCTGGTGTGAAGGCGCTGGGAAGGTGTTGACTTAACTCTGGGGGGGGCGTGAACTTGCGTTTTGCCAGTGCTGTTTTGGGTGTTTTGGGGGGCTGCTCGGTTGTGGGCATCCATTCCTCGATGGCATTTGTGGGAGCCGTTCTGGAGGTTTTCCTCGATGGGACCGCCAGGGACGGCGATGGTGCGAGGCATGGCCAAGCAGGAAGTCGCCATTGACGGCAGGTCCCCGCTCAGTGGCGCCAGCCGAAGAGCTGGCAAATGGAAAGAATTTGTGCGGCAGACCGCCCGTTCTTTGCGATGTACTGGGGAGACCTCTCCAACATAAGTTCGGCAATTTTCAAACCCACCTGATCGCGTCGCCTCGCCCAGCGGCAGTGGCGGGTGGCCGTAGAGTTACCACTTTACTGCACGCACAACATCCATCGCTGTTGCGTCTGGCTGTTAGCTGGTGTCTCTGGCATGTGCCACATCGCGACCCGTTTGAAACCCAGACCATGCTGACCCTTGAAAGTGTGCTCAGAGTGCACTGATCGCTTGTCCCGCGTCCAGCCGCTTTGTTGTCGAGGCGTCACTGGCTGGGTAACGCCCGTTACATCGCCAGCGCCAACCTTTCTGCCAAAGTAAGTCATAAGCTATTATTTTGTCATTCCATGTCCGCGATTGCAGCTCAGCAAATAACCGATTGCCACTATCTGTGATAGTGCGTCCTGTGTTCGCAGCACCCATTGTCAGATTTCATGGCACTCGCCAACCATTGCTCGCAATGTGTAGGATGGCCTTCGCCTTCTCCTGAACTAGGGCCGTCGATGGCTGACACTACATGGCTGCACCATAATACTATCAGGCATGTCTCAGTGTCTTCAGACTGGCTGAGACAGTCATACTTGGGGCATACAGCCTAATATTCCAAAATACGTAGAAACTAACTTGGCCACATAGGAAGTCGCTCATGGGGCTGTTCGCTACTCCATTGCAAAGAACCAACTGAGCTAGTTCACAATCCATCACACATTCACGCCACAAGTGAAACGTTGAGGTGCTGGTGGCCCCTCTAAACCCAGTCAGTTCTTTCGATTGATATTCACAACCCAGGATTCTTGCCCACAGTGGGAGGGAAATGTGAAACAGCGACTGTCTGGCGGTAGGCACAAGGCAGTGCCAGCTCTTCTGCCCCAGCATGGACATTCAGGTAGCGCAGGGCAGCACTGTGTGCAGTCTGTCGAACAGCCCCGCTCTGTCATTCCTTTGCAAACAACAATACCTATCCACAGACTATTTCCACATGGCTTCAGCACACCTCGTACAGTGAGCACCTAACAGCTACAAACCACCACAGGGTTCCCATATTCTAACCTAGTATCACAACTGGGGTCCTCCTCAACTGACCACCACTGGGCCCCGTAGTTCCTGTATGATGTGCACATCAAGCCAGTTCTCTGCCACAGACTGCCCTTTGGGGCCCCAAATTTTGAGTTTCAGCGACCAAAAGGCACCCAGCCCAAGAGTTGAGGCCACAAACAGGAGTTCCAGGATCCGTGCACACACAACCCTCCAGACTGGCGCCAGGTGCTCGTGCCGGCCAGCTACCCAGTAGCACTGGCCTCCCCAGCACACAGCAGTTGTGCTGAAGCACCAGGGGATGATCTGCACAAGGGCCCAGGCAAGCAATGGGAACCATGAGAGGCCGTTACTTCCGGTGCACCAGTGGTATGCCACCACCGCAGCTGTTCCGAGGACAAAAACGAGGTAGTCGGACAGCAACAGCGACAGGGGGCAGTTTGCAGACACCCATTCCTGGCAACCAAACAGGGAGTGTGGTGAGGAACACAGGAATTCTCTTGTGTTGGCAATGTTCTCCAATCAGACAACAGACAGCCAAACATTCGATCAAGACATCACAATCAACCAAAACAGAACAAGAAACAAAGGTAATCACCAAGTTCTGAGTATCTTGCCAAGGTGGCAGTTTCAGGTTCCCTGTTTCCCAGCAGATGGTCAGTGCTGTCGCAGAATGCTCCTTCGCTCACAAGTTGAAGCAGGATGCAACTCAGCCTCAACAATGCGCCATCCAAATATGATGATCCAAACCATCAGATCTCGAATTCTGTATTTAGATTTGAAGTGCATGCGTAGAAAGAGACTGGACAACAAAGGCAGTGTCCTGCTAGAATAGGTCCACCTCAATACATATCCATGTTACATGTCCACAAGATGTCCATGATACATGTCCACATCATAATGCTCCTGCTGACAAACACGACGTCCAGCAGCACACAATGTTATGCTTCCAATCATGCTCTGCTGTGGCTATGATTATGGGAATGTCCAGAACCACACCTCTGGGTTGGGCTCCTCAAGGCAGCGGCGAAATAGCTCCGCATCCCATTTCCGCAGGTCCTGAATGCAGAAGACACTACTGCAATTAATCGTGTTTATTGTTGGGAACAGCAACATCTCAACAAATGCCTAGACCATCTCCAAACTAACACACACGATAGCCCACAGTCAAGGTTACATGGTCACTACTGCCAGGCATTGCTCTTGGCTTCTGCAGTGTCTCCTGCAGCTGGTGCTGCTCCATGTACAAGATGCTTTCTGTTGTGATATTTGCAAGGCCGCTGACTCCCTGTTTCTAGTCCAAGTACTGGGCATCGCTTGCCCTCAGTTCAGTTCCCTTCTCTGTGTCTCTTCTGTCACAAGTAAGTCAGTTTATCTGCCTGCCAACCCCAAAACAGCTCACCTGGTACACTTTCAGCCTTGCCTCCATTTCGTCAGGATTTTCGCCATTGAGCCTATACCAGGCAGCCAGACATGCTTAACCTAACTCAAGCCTGTAAAATCGAGCACGAAACTCGCTACTGATGGATCGGACATTATCTCACAGGTGAAGAGCAAAGACACAAATGTAGTCAACAAATGTCAACAAATGTAGTCCGTGTGGATTGATGCCATCAGGAAGTGGACTGACGCCATTAGGAAGCACACTGTTAGCACAGTACTGGCTTCATCGGGCAAAACACCACCATGAGGCCAAGAAGGTCACTTGTGGTCTTGGTGGCCAGAATGACACACGGCATGATCTCCCGTGACATAGCACAGTGTGGATTTTTCTCTTTCGCACACACATGGACAATATTGGCACCCAATCATGTGTTGAGATTGGTGTTGTGCTGGAGATTAGCTGGCAGGGGTTGGGGGGGCATGATAGTTCCCAGCATGTTGGCTCCACGCAATATGACTAACAACACGAACAAAGCCCTCCCCAGAAGCGTTCCTGGCGTTTCGCACCCATCACAATGCCCCTGGTTTGTCACTGAAGCACTAAAGCCACTGGGGAACGTACTCCTCATGAGCACTGGTTGTTTCTTATGTGCTGCTACTCTGAATTGTCAGCGCCTCGTACCTGATATATTCCAAGTATTCCTTGGACTTCTTCAAGGCAGCCACGCTCTTGCGGGGATCGATCGATGAATACTCAGATACAGCCATTCTCGATGGATCGTTGAAGTGCCCAACAACTGCACACATGTCCACAAACTTGTTGGGACCGTTTCCTTGTGGGTAAGTACTTCTGCAAAGAACTCGTGTCTTGCAATGCTTGACATGATTGGACAGTTCATGCCTCATGTATGGTACTGGCAGAACAATCCTGCTTTTCAGTTGTGCTGGCAAGTTCCCACAGCAACAGTACCACTGTCACTGTTGGTGGCCAGCACGCCAAATGTGCTTTAAACATCGAAGGACGGCTTGCAGTGAACTATTCAACAGGTTCGCTGTCCTAGTCCTGGAGGTTGGGATGCATGACCGCCAGCAATCAATCCACATCAGGCTGTGCACGGCAAGGCATTAGCTTCCCGAGTTCACAAGGCTCAGAACCTTCCACCGAAAACAGCAACCTAATCGAGAGAGCGGGGTAGAGTCGCCAAAGAGTCCCAGAACCCGAGTCGCAGGACTTGAGGCCCATCACCCCACATCCCACAGTGCCGCGGCGCCCGCCTGTCGGCGCTCACCGAGACGATTCTCAACGCTGCCTTCTCCACCGTAGTCCCCCGCGCGGACCTCCGCAATCCTCTGCTCCATTCCCCCGCGATTCGCGACCCGTCGGTCGCCTCCGACCTGGCGGTCCGGCCTGCGCCTCAGTGACCCGAAATCGCAAGCGTGGCCGCCCCCGCCGCTGCCCTCTCCCCCCAGCCCGCTCCCGAGCGACGATCTCCACGCAGGCGGCCCCTGAGCGTCCGGAGAGAACAGCCCCCCGCCTGGCCGGCCCCCTCCGAACGCCTCGCGGCCTAGCTCCCCATCCTCGTCGAAGATCGAGTTGCGCGGCGGGGGTGGGGGCCGCCTGCCCGGCCACCCGCCGCCCTTCTCCTGCGCCGGCGGCGCCCACCGCCCCAGGGGCACCGTGGCCGCGAAGCTCCGCCTGGCGTGCGGCTCGGGCGATCGGTGCGACGGCCCGGGCCCTGGGTCGCCCCAGGCAAGGCCCCCCGACGGGCGCGGGGCGTCCGGAGGGCTGCTGTTCGACATCCAGCACGGGGAGCCCCACGCGTCGGCGGCGGAGCCCTGCAGGAGGGCGCCCCTGGGCGGCGGCTGCCCCACGTCGCGCCTGCAGAGAATCAAAACAAGCAGATTGTTGAGACAAAGGGTGACGAGGAGGGGGGGACGGAGGGATTTGCTGGCGACATGGCCGCATGGTGCGAGCCGATCAGGGTGGGAGATCCGCGCGTGGGAGCTGTGAGGCCTGTTGTGACGTCGCCGCCCTGCTGATGCGCCGGTTGGGGGGGGGGGGGGGAGCCCGAGCGCGCTGGCGAGCTGGGCGGACGCCTGGACACCGCGATGGCGCCACCGCAGCCGCCGCGGCGCCATTCGCGACCGCGCCGCGCCCAGTTGGTCGAGGGAAGCAATGGCGGGCCGCTGCCGGCATTGGGTTCGAGACATAGGCCGATCGATGAGAGGGCGGGGTTGCGAAGGCAGGCTTGGACGGGTGTCGCGCACGCCTCCCTCACCTCCTCATTTCCAGCATTTGGGCGATTGGCCGACGGCCGCCGATGCGCGGGAAGGAGCGGGGCGCCTGGGGTGGGAGGGCGGGAGAGGGGAGGGCCGCGCTGGCGCCGCAGGCTTGGTGGGTCGGGCGGAGGTCGCCGAAGCGAGGGCCCCCAGGGCGGAGGGTTCAAGCTGCCGGAGTCCGATCGTACTTTGGCGGTGAGTGCAAGAACAACCTGGAGCCGAGGAGCAGCTGTGGGCAACGCTGTTTTTTTTACCGCAAATATACAGCAGCGGCGGGTTCCTTACTTGTTACCGCAAATATACCGGAAATATATGATATGCCAGACCACGAAAAGGCAAGGTCGGCGGTATACCGGGTGCGTCTGGCACAGCATATGCCACTGCCCACAAGAAACTTTTCCTCCCTCGCCACGCTTGCTTGTGAGAGCGCATTGCCGCGTGCAGGCAAGCAGCTTCCAAGATTGTTGAGCAGCACGGCACAGTCCCCAAATACTTCCTCCGTCCAAGAATAACTGTCCTCTATTATTATGGGGCACGAAATCTCCATCGTACCCATATCAGTTCTCAATGAATTTTCGCCCAAAGTTGTGCTCGTAAGTTTGGAGCATACTGTCAAATTTCAAGTCAATTCATTAATTGTTGAGGATTTATTAGTTCTTTGTACCAGTGGTCTTTTACCTAGTGAACCTTGGTATTTGGGGTCAAAATTGACCAAAATTTACCTTTCCCTAATGCTCAAAGAGCTCGTGTCTCATTTTATCTTCTTGATAATTGGTGGTTAAGGGTTTTGCAACCTGATTTTTCCGTTTCTGAACTTGTTTTCTAATTTTGAGGCAGTCCTTGTAAGGAATTCTGTCTTTTAAATAGAGGACAATTAATCTTGGACAGAGGAAGTAAATCTTTTGCTCGCTGGCCCTGACAGTCAGCACTGGGGTGCACGGTTCACAATATCTCGAGACATGGATCGCCCCCAAAGTTGGACTTTGACGTCCAACTGTTGATATTGGTGTGCGGATGGGTTGGACGGGTAATTGAAGTAGAGGCAAGTACCGACGCTGCGGCCGAGCGAAACCTTCAAGCAATGCCTGCTTCAAACGCTGCTGGTGTGGCAGCCAAGTGTTTTTGAATGCTGTGCTGCCTGGTGGCAATGGGAGACTTGAAGCGAAAGTCGAATTAGTCCATGTGGGCAGGTACGCAAGTCGAGCAGCAGGGCACAGTCAGGCCTGCCGATCCCATCTGAAACTCGCTGATGGCAACAGACACCACAATGCTAGCAGACAATTGTAGACCACCAGGCTGATGCTCACACCTGCAATGTTGGATCAAGCACTGCACCATGTCCAGCAGCACGAGTCTGGCACTGCTGAATGACCCATATTGCAACATTAAGTTGCCAGCGCCGTTGTGTTTGTGCCAAGGTCATGGCACTCGCAAAGATGTCCTCTTGTTGGCAAGTGGCCCTGGGTGACGCACAAGCTGACAAGTTGACATGCATCGACAACAAAGTGAACAGACGATTTGTTCAACAACTTGGAGCCAAACCGAATTGAAGGACTGCGTGAAGACTAATAATGCATTGATCCAACCACTGACTATATTCACATATTGTCCTCCACAGCCCATCCATGCCCACGCTATGCAAATGAACTGCAAACAATGCTAAGAAAAGCTCATTTCGTTTTCTTGGAGGTGTCATTCTCTTGGCGTTTCTGCATCCAAGATTGAAAGGCAGCATTTTGGCGTTTGTTCATTTTCACTCTTGGCCTTCTGGACTTGATGATTCGTATCGCCTCGCTGTAGTCAGCAGCATGATTGCCTTGTATCAAACATGCACACAAGACCAGCACACTACGGCCATGGCCATGGGCACAGTGCACATAGACATTGCGACCCACACTGCGCTGTGCAAGGGCCCAGCTGACGCCCTGCTCAATTTGAGGTACCACCGGTGCTGTGGAACACACAATGACATAACACTCAGACACAATCAAAGCACCACACCTAACATAAAGATAAAATTCATTGATATGCCCCACCAATAACAACGATTGTTTCACCACATATGCCAGCGAATAACACTGGAACCATTATGAACTTCTGTGAAGTGTTGCCAACCACTTTTTGGGAGGGGAAAAGCGACTAGAAAACAATGCACTTCAGACGATTTCAACATCTTAGAGCATCCTAGCACCAAAGAAGGCCAGAAAACCTCTGCTAAATGCCCTTGGAGAGATGCGCCAGAAAAGCTGAAGACAAAACAGTGGAAAGCACAGAATCGGGTCCCTACCATGCGTATCCCAGGTGGGAAGGCACAGATACTCCCCACTGATCTGAGTTCTGGGCAGCTCAGATGTGACATCCAGCACTGCCGGGGAGCCAGGAGGCAGGCAAGAGGCATCATGTGGCCATCCACCAAGATACCTGTTGAAAAACCACAAGGAGCATTCCACAGATAACTGTTAACCAAAGCCAATGGGTGGCATTCCTTGCTCCACACTTGGCAGCATGTATTCACTGGAAAGCACACATCAGGTGGCCAAATACGCAGCTGCGAAGGCTACATTTGGGACCGGTCTTGAAGTAGCAGCAGCACTGGCAGTCTGCCATTAAATGCCAGTGGCCCAATACATTCCCCAAACATGCGTTGCTCAGTTCAGCGTTGTTAGATCACATCAGTTTAACGTTCTTAGATCACATCAGATGATGGAGAGCCTGCCACTGGGAATGAAAACACAAATTCCTCGGTGCATAAAGTGTGCATCTACGAAAGCGCCGGACATCGTCTGACAAGTGTGCTTATATATGCTACAAACATGAACTGGAGTGCATTCAGGCCTAACAACAATGTAAGCTATACATGATCGCCCTGCAGATTTTTAGGCAGATCTTTGTCTTGCTTTTGACAAAACAATCAACAATGATTTGCTCTGAGAACCCCACATTGCGGCTTACTTGGGCAATAGCCTTCTCAACTTTAGTGGCATTTGTATGCACCCAATTGAACAAAACAATCGACCTGTGTGTTTGTACACAACTGTTTTGCACACTTTTTGCAGCGAACCACTGATAGCGATGAATGGCTGGACTTGCGTCCTTGTCCCACGGCTCCCCATCTGCAGACAATCGCATTTTCAGGAGCTTACCACAGAATGCACAATGAGAGAACTCATGCCAACCATGACGCTGTTGCATACCAGCCAGGCAGTATCTCATTGTAGAGGGGCTCTGTCGTGATGCTGCGTTTCCACCGCAGCCTCAAGCGAAGCCCCAAATGGAATGGCCACATCAGAGCTAACCCCCACAGTGCAATTTGCCCTTTGTCGTTCTAGAGAACAGACACAATAGCAGCGAATCAAGTCAGGGCACAGGGTCATTGCCCAGTCTGTGCCATGCCCAACGCGGATCAAATGCAGTAGGCACAACTATGGGCAATACGTCATGCGGATCCTGTGAGGACAGATGCTCTTTGCGGACTTGGTGCCCGCCGGCGATGAGAGCCAGGAAAATGCGAAGATGTTCGATGACTACGACGGCATGAAATGGGCGTTTCAGGCAGGCAGGCCCCGAGCAAATGCTGATGCAATTGCAAATGCAAGTGCACAAGGGAGCGACTATTTGCGGACAGAGAGCTTTCTTCTCTTCCCCTCTCTCGTCGAATTGATCCGAATCCGTCGCGTGCTTCTGGATCTTGCACAAACGAATTCATGGGGAGCAGGGTCCTCCACTGAGGACGTTGCGACAGGGACCACGCAGGCTCTCAGCATGGTCGCTTCCGGCGCCGACCACCTTCACCGTGACACTGTCGCGCCCGTCCCACAATGCTGAACATCATCATCCACGCCCTTCGATCCCCACCTTCCCCAGCAGGCGCGTGGTCTTGGACGCACAATAGTCGTTGGTGCACAGGGACACTGCGAATCCAGTGGCCGCTATGTGCGCCAACACAAACTTTGCTGCGGGGTGCAGGCTGTTCCTCAGCGCTATCCCCAAGGCCGTGGGAATGAGCGCAGCCGACCCGACCACGAGGGAGATAGGCATTGCCGCTACCGCAGAGGCCCAGGAACGGGGCACACACCTTCCGAGAGGTTTGGGTGTGGATGGCCAGAGCTGGGCGGCTTTTGGCCTCATCGACAGGAGATCGACCGCGGCATCTACCGATAATCAACGCCACAACGACGGAGCAACCGCCCCACTGGTACCCGTTGCTGGACTGTGCACTCGGGTACTGTACACGATCAAACTTCGCACAATTCGTCGTTTCCCGTTTTCTCACCGGAGGAACCATGGCGATGCGGTGGAGTTGTTCGGGAAGACGTTGTGGAGTGTTGTGTGGGGTTATGCCGCAGGCGGGGGGCAGCTTCCTCTGTCCCTTTGTCTGCGAGCGCTGCACGTGAAGAGTGAACCATCCTTGGACGTATTCTTGGTGCTGGCGACGGGCAATCCGTTTGATGCCTTTGCGGCAACTTGAGAAACACTGCCTGATGCACCCTCGAGGCGACATTTGGCATAATGCCATCCACGTGTGTTCAAGAATTTGTATTCATTTCTCCACACTTGAAAACTGCAGAAAATAATGGAAAGGAGAAGGAACTCGACTCCCATCTCCAAAATACGCGATAGGGTGGCCAGCAGCACAGGGCCACAATGCATTGTACTCTGCCTATTGAAAAAAAGCCGCAGTCCAATTTACCACTGGACGTCACCAACACACCGTGCCAAACACGTACTTTGTGGCTGATCTAGATACTGCGAGACAAACCATAGACAGTGTACATACAGTGCACCATGCACCTCGCCATAGTGTTCAAGAGCCTTAGTCAACGCGCTGCGAAATGAATCCAACAAAGGGAAATGGCAGGAATTGCAAGAAAGGAGCTAAGAAACCATACCCCAAGCCTGGCATCCCAGAGGTCCATGATAGAGGAAACCATTCAGAAGATGCACAAAAGGGACTCTGCACATATGTGCATGACCCCATAGCACTCGCATCGCACTGAATATCTTTGTACCTCACACAGGAAGCTTATAAGTAAGTCCTAGTTTGGGTGCTCAGCGTTTCAGCTCCTCGTTCCTAGTCAACGGCAGCAGCCTATGCCACACAACGAAGATGGGTTTGGGAATATTCCAGGCTGTTGGCACGCTTCACAGAGTCATGTAGATGCAGGCCTGAAATCACCAGTCAAGTATTGCTCAAGTGCATGATGCAGTCCTTAATCCATTCCAGGGTCAGCACTAAGTTCATCACACATCATGCATGCATCTCTGGTGCATTCCTAATCCATCCTGCCCCTTGAACAGCTCATCCATTATTAGACAGTACTTTGGATCAGTGCGTCACCCATAACGATGCTTGGGGATCTACAAGGTACAGAAGCAACTTGCTGCTGGCTACTGTTCTGGGTGGTCACCACATCGGCACATGAGCCACATGGAGTCACCACATGCAACGCATGAACCACCAACAACATGCAAGCCAGCGTCGCTTGCACAACGGGCGACTGCAGCACCCTTGTTCACTTGCCATGGCAATGGCAACCAACAAAGCAATTGTTGGCCAAACGAATGTAGCCACCCTGCCAATCCAGAGTTTCCTGCGCCAGTTGTGCATCCAGCTTGGCTATGCATTTGGGGTACAAATCTCTCCTGCTCACTGCTTGCCATGGCAATGGCAACCAACAAAGCAATTGTTGCCCAAACGAATGTAGCCACCCTGCCAACCCAGAGCTTCCTGCGCCAGTTGCACATCCAGTTTGGCTATGCATTTGGGGTACAAATCTCTCTTGCTCACCTGACGACAAAGGTGCGTATTGTTTCTAATGTTGAGGCTTAACAGTTTACTGGCAGGATACATGCGGCACTGCAGCTCAAACTACAGCGAAGCTCAAAACTGCCTGCAACGTCCTTACACAGCCAGAAGGCACCAGTTTGGCCGCTCAGTGGTGTTATCATTGTTGTTGTCGTCCTTGTTGTTTATCTGAAACCTGGAAAACCAAAACCGGAAATGTTCCACATGTGTTTCATGCCACCAGATGTCCAAATAAGTCCACAAACTCGAAAGGGTCTGGTGCTGTGAAGTTGGCATACAATGCCTAAGAAACAACTGCAAAGAAGATACATGGCGCCAAATGTGCGGACCAGATGAGTAATAAACATTCCATACAAATTACACTCGTGGACTCTGAGATGTCTTCATCTGCAATTGATCTGTTCTACTCTGCATCACAGCAGTGTCCTGGTCGACCTAGACAATTTCCGCAGCACTTCAATCTCCCCAGACAACCCAACAACGCTCAGTGTCGAATGGTGCGCACTACTCTATTGAATTTGTAGCCTCTGCAACGCTATCCCCTACCCTTCCCAGTTTTCAGCCCGGCAGACAAGCACAGCTCCCCTCACCCGACAGTCGGCACTCCCAAACTGCTCCCTTCCAGGGAGGACCTCAGCAAACTGAGGGCCGACTCGACGCTCCGCCTGGCCTCCCCGGTCCTCCCGTCCGTCAAGATATGCAGCACGTCGCTCGTGGACGCCACGTTCCTGCCCGCGCCCCTCCCCATCGCCGTCGCCGCTCCGACCGCGTTGGCCAGCTCCAGCGCCCCCTCCAGATCCCACCCCTCAATGTACCCTAACGCCACTCCCGCCGCGAAGCTGTCCCCGCACCCCACGGTGTCCGAAACCTCCACCTGCACCCCGCGCACCAGCAGGGGTCCGGGCGCATGCCTGGCGTGCAAGATCGCCCCCTTCTCCCCCATTTTCACCAGACACCACTTCGTCTCCGACCCAGACTTCTGAAGGACCCACTCCGCGCACCCGTGCGGGTCGTCCCTCCCGCTGATCGCCGCCGCCTCCTCCCTGGTGGCTAGCACCACGTCCGAGATGCCGATCAGCCGCTGCATGGCCTCCCTGCCCGGCCTGGCGCCTGCCATTATCGACAGGCACCGCGGCCCAGGGTCGAACATCAGCACGGTGCCCATCTCCTTGGCGGACACGGCCACGCGCTCGATCAGGCCGGGGGACAGCTCGTCGAAGATGAAGCCATTGATGAAGAGCGCCCGCGACCGGCCGATGGCGCCCATGGCCTCTGGCGTCAGACTGTCCCCGTCGCCCAGGATTGGGCCGGGCTCCACATCGTAGAGGCTGCAGAACGCGTGGCGCGACTGCGGGTCCACCAGCACGAAGCAGATGAGCGTGTTGGCCAGCAGCGTGTGGGCGCCCGGTCTCGCGGCCACCCCCTCCGCCACCATCCCCACCACCACCCGCACGCCCTCCTCCCTGAGCACCCGCGTCAGGAAGTCGCCGAATCGGTCCGGGCAGACGTGGCCCACGGACGCCGCCCGCATGCCCAGCCTCGAGGCGGCGATCAGGAAGTTGGAGGCGCCGCCGAGCTCCCAGCAGGCCTCCGGCGGGATCTTGGCCATGAGGTCGTCGATCAGGCCCGCCTGGGACCTGGCGTCCCCGTCGGGCAGCCTGGGCAGCGCCAGTACGACGTCCACGCACAGATTCCCCAGGCCTACGACGTCAAACTCCCTCTCGGCGTTGATTCTGGCCCGGGCGCGCCCAACCGTCTGCCACGCGTGCCGGCGGTTGCCGGACCGCGCCGCGCAGGCGGGGAATCGAGGGGCGCATGGCGAGGTGGGGTGGGTCCATTCTGCCCGGCGGCCGGCTCCGAGCGCGGCGTGGGACGCGGTCATAGGCCGTGCGCGGCGCCCGCCGTGGCCGAAGGGCGTCCTGAGCGCCCCTGGCCCTGGCGCGGCTCCGCAAATCGCAACGCCATCCCATTTTCACACTCTTACGACGGTGATGGGCAGATGGGACCCCCACAAGTGCCGCAATGAGACCCCGGCCGCACTGAACTTTGTCCGTGCAAAATTTGCACTGCAAACCCTAAAAGGGCGCGGTCCGGCCGGCAAGGGGCCTATGTGCGCAAGACACACAGCGGCGTGCAGGCGTCGAAGAGGAGTTGGCTGACCCCGCGCGTGCCTCGCGGCTGGTTTCTTTGGACCCCAAAACTTCATCAGGACGGAAGCGGCTTCTTCGCGGCCGCCCAAGCGGGGCGTCGGCGGACATGCTAGGTCAGCCCATTCAGCCATGAGGCAGCCGATTGGCCGCCAACGGCCGATTGGTCGCAATCCGTCGTCCTGGGGCCGGCGCTGGCTGAACTGTCAGTCCCTGCGGTTGCGGCGGTGGCCGCCTCGGTGATGAAGCCACCGGCGTCGTTCTGTGCCAGGGGCCGTGTCGGGGAGGCTCTCTCGCCTGCAGGGGTTCCTGTCCCATGGGCAGCTTCAGGCGATGCGGTGGGTGGCAATGTGCTTCACCGAATCGGACGGCGCGGGACCAACACTGTATGCCTGAAGGGCGCGTGGCGAGGAGATTGGTCTGTTCGTCGTTTCACTGATCTTCGCTGCTGCTCAATCCCGACAACGTCATTCCCTTGGCCTATGATTTTTGCACTTCAATCCTGTGTGAGTCTTCACCAAGGTGCCCAGACAACCAGAGGAGTAACTGGCAGTGTTGTACGGAAAGCAGGCAGGCCGTGGTGAATTCTGCGATTTTGCTGTGATTCTGTTTGCATCGTTGTTTCGATCGCAATGCCTTCGGTGTTGCATTGGGTAAGGCAAAGATTTGCTGACGCGTCTGATTGCCCTGTGGTCCTCCAGATGGGTGCCAGCAATTTCGGGTCGACGCCTGCCAGCTGACTTGATCGAAGATCACCACACAACAGCCATGGCACCCAGCACGTTGGTGGGGTGAGCAAAGCCTGGTAGTCATCAATGCAACACTGTCCACGTTGTTGGCTGCATGCTCTCTGTTTACCTTAACCTGCGCGATCGCAGCCTCATTGCTGCACGGCTCTTGTTGTGATGGACAAGAGCACCCACATCAGGTGGCACTGCCAGCCATCTTCACATTTGTTTGTTTGTTATTTCCTTGTTGACAGGCGGAATGACAACCGCACCACCATGCAACTATTCGATGGGTCCATTGCCATGATACTTGCGATGTAAAAACCTTACTGAACCAATACCTGGCTTAGATGTGTAAGTTGCAGTCCAAAGAAGAGAGCAAAGAAGGAACTATGCTGGCCCTGTGCTTGACCCTCCTAGCTTTCCGCTATGCTGCGGGTTGTTGCGAAGGGATTGACATCCAGGTTTCCCAGTGGCACTTGAGAACATCTGTACTGTGAGAATACCTGATCCACTTCCCATTCTGTGGCACTGTCGTTGCATTGGCGTTGGGTGTGCCCTCCAGTGATTGCCGAGAGGCAACCATGCTGTGCTCAGTGCCAATCGCAGCCACCTCATCGGGAATGGGGTTGAGTACAAAGCTTGCAATATGTAATAGGGCTGCTTCTGTGTGCCTAATGGTGCCAAAAAGACAAGCCAGTGCAGTGTGGAGCGCAATTGATGTTGGGTGACACCAAAATTTCTGTCGGCTTGGGCCTTGTTCAAACTTAAAAGTCACCCAGGGATGCCAACATCTCTTGTTTCCCGTGCTTATGCGCTATTGAATGTATCATGCAGGCCAAACACTTCTCCTGGTACAATGGACAGAGCAGTTATGGTGCGTCATAAGATTGCTCCTGGGCCTTTTTGATGTCCAAATTTTGGCTGTTGTCACTACAGGCATTTGCAGGTGTCTGTTTGTTGGCCATGTGCTGCCTTGCGGAGTAGCAACAGTTGCTTGGTGCTTCATAAGCATGTGCTTTGCTGCCAAAACAACACACAGCACAGAGCAGAAACAGACAGTCAAGAGATAAAATGCACATACGTTTAATGGTGGATGGGGCCGATGATGGCATAAGAGTTTTGAGTATACAAGGTCCCTGACAATCCAAATTCTGCCCTTGTTTTTTCAGAAGGAGGGGGCAAGGCAGTGGCCAGTTCACATGTCAGGCCAGAGAACCATTAACATATCATCTCAAGGACGTTGATTCTTGGCCATGTTCTGCCAGTGACAGCCGCAACAATCCTTTGCATCGTTGCCACAAACACCTGGTGGCCATGGATGTGTGTGCTGTATTGTACAGGGTTTGATGTCCTCTGACTTCTCTACTCGCCTGTTTCTAAGGGGGACTGCAGGAGATGGAATACAGCAGCCGCCACGATGAAGTCGTTGCCACGCAAATTGCAGCGGAATTCCTCACAACCCGGAGTGACATACCCTGAAAAACCCCCTCTACAAGGGTTGGATTTGACCAGGATCAGCACAACCATGAAAGTGGTAACTCGAGGCCAGCGGGTTGCTGCCAAACTGTTGAAACTCACAAAGATGACAGACGTGGAAGAGAGGGAGGAGCTCATGGCGTCCTGTGCAAAAGAATTTCTGAAAGAAATGGATGCCAAGCTGGAGGGCCTGCCCCAGGAAGCTGTGAGTTTAGGCCAGAACCAGGCAGTCCTGCCAACCTGCAGTTTTCTGCACAGTTGCCATTCTTTTGTTCCTACTTGTTGAATCCACCTCTGTCCATTCATCTTGTAACAAAATGTATGCATTTGTGGCCCATCGCTGACAGTTCAATAGCATTTGAAACTTTTGTGCTGTGCTGAACATTTCCTTTTCTTTCTTGTGTGACAGGTTGATTGCATCAGCATCGCATCCATGATGCATCGTATTGGCATGGTGATGAAATTCATACACCCAAAGGATTGGCTCTTTCAGGGGCATGCGAAAGTACCCATTTCCCTCATAGAAATGTTCGATCAAAGGTTCCAATATGCTGAGGCCCACCACATGGCGAGCGTCCTGTGGGGCATGGGCCAATTGGGCCGGAGGTCCTTGGATCTGCCTTTAGGGGAGGGTACAGCCAGAAACCTGATCGACAGGATTGTTCAGACTGTGCCTAACAAGTCAGACGGCATGAAGGGTAATAGTGTGTGCCATTTTGTGGAGGGTCTATCCTTGCTGTATGACAAGGCACCACCCGGGTGCCTAGAGACACTCTTGGGGAAGACAGCTCCACGTCTGGAGGAAGAACATACGCTGACGATGAACATTGCCAGGCTACTGTATGGGCTTGCAGAGCTGAACTATGAGGACAAGATCGGTGTGGTGGAAGTGGGTGTGAAGCAGCTCGCATTCCACTTCGCTCACCTTGGAGACAACCATATCTCCGATGCAGTTTGGGCCCTTGGGAAGCTCAAGTCTCCACATGCAAGCCGGTTCATGCTGCATGTCCAGGCTAAGGCTGAGCAAGAAGGCTTTGGCCTCAGCAAGAGCCGAATGTCGCCGCGGCAGTTGATACGATTCGTGTGGGGCATGGACCAGCTGAATTACAAGACTGCAGCCATGGGGATCATAAAGAAACTGTGCCCAGAAGTGAATTACAGGAGGCGCGAGTTCACAAACGAGCAGATCCAAGAATTCACCGACATTTGTGGAAACATGGGCATGAATGTGGGGCATCTTATTGAGGAATGTTGACATAGAATTGAATGTGTCGAGGCTCCTGGTGACGACCGTGCATCTAGATAATAGGTGTGGATAATATGGAAAGAGCCGGAGGGTGCCTTGCTGCCATGACGCGAATTGTCACCTTTGTGTTTGTGTGTGTGTGTGTGTTGGCATGGCAGCTCTTGTGTGGATAGAACGCACCAACTACTTCACACACACACAGCCCAGTCTGACATATGGTGCATGTTTTGCATGTATTTCAACCAGAATTGGCGGGACGCAGAAGCAGACAGCCCAAGCCGATGCTGCCAAGCTGGGATTGCAGCCTGCTCATCAGGATGGAACTCAGCATGACCAATGGTGCTCAGATAGTGCGAAGGAGCTTGGTTGACTTGGAGACATCTTTGGTGAATCTGACGCACGCTATCTTGCCTCATTAAATGTAACATAAATTTACCCTGAAGGCTTGTGGGCGTTTTATGCTGAAACCCTGTCCCCTGAGCTGGTCGCATGGCGATGATACGTCTTGCATGCAGCACCAAATCTGCCAGCAGCCTGGCTCTGCTGGCACCAGAACATGTACTTTTAGATTGCGTCCAAGCCAGCCCTGGCGGCGCAATCGCCGCTTGGCATTTGCTGCGAAGCAGAGGAGCGAGCCGTGTGGTCGCAGGGGCTCGACTGAGGAGCAGTACGGGTGAGGTTTACGGCAAGATTTAAAGGGGGGATGGAGTTCCAGAACTTGCCACAAATACAACTGTCAGACTATTTTTGCGTGTAAAGATGTAAATACGATTTGTGTTTACGGCGAAATACCAAGCCCGATCCCACCAAATCGCACAAGGCGCTGGCTGGCGCACACCAGCCAGTGTAGGGACGCTTCCTCTTCATAGTAGCTGCCCCTTCTTCCTCTGTGCTCACGTTCTAAGCACATTCTGTTAGCGCGTTGTGTCCATTTTGCCGCGATAATCTGGACACATAGACACCATCATGGGAACACGAGTCCTTCCCAACGACGCTTCAGCTGCCTCGAACCGAGCGTGTTTCAACATGTACATGTAGCTGATTTTTATACATGGTAGCATCAGTGGTCCCACTGGTCAGTTTCGCACAGCTCAATGGAGGCGAGGGACTCCAGGCAGTGCGCGCAGAACACAATGGCCGTGCTGGCAGTGCGCACATTCTTGTACTGGCGTGGCATTTGGCTGTTTCACCCCAACGTCGCATTGATGGGGGCCTCTAGTTCTTGCATGCGGCCAACACCACCTCGGCGCCAATCCTTATACACAATCAATGGCCCTTTGGACAGCGGCCGCCGTGCACCACATTGTGACGATGTTTTGAACGAAGTTAACGCACATGGACGGGCTAATGCGGGTTTGGATCAGGCTTGTTATTACGGTGTAATCACGGATCACATTTACGTAAATGTAAATGTAATAAAACGTATACGTTTTTACGTGAAAATGCTATTTGTGTCTTATCCAATAAAAAAATGTAAAAGCATGTAAAGACAGGCCCTGTATACACAAAGCCAGAGCCATGCGGACTCAAGGAGTACAGGGAATGGCACCCAGACGCGCTGAAGTGGGCAGAAGTCGACCTTTTGTTCGACGACGCTGTTGCCTTTGCCGATGGCGAGGTGGATGCTGCGTTGCTGGTGCTCGATGGGACGGAGGACTGCTCATTGTTTGCGACATCATTTGAATCAAGGGTCGTCACAGGGTGCATTCTGCAACAGGGAACACTAAACATTGTGATTGAATGCACTTGATTTGGAGTGTGATGGCGGCACACCGTGGGCACTCCGTACAGGACCAGGGCCCCCACCTCGCAAACGCGCATTTCTAGCAGTTAGAGTTTAACCCAGTCCCACGGAAAAAAGTTATCCTATAGCGCCGCCCCTGTCTGAGGCCCCGCACAGCCTCGCCCACGAGGCCAGCCAACCGACCTTGCGCAAAAATACTTCTTGCACATAGTGCAGGCCTTGACAACGGTCCTGCCACCATGGGTCCACCGCTATGGCGTTCAACCACCATGTCCCCAAGTAGCCGGCAGCATCAGTTGCAAAGGTGGCGTAACAGAGGGCCGATCAGGTTGACACGGACGAAATCAGAGCGCATAAAACCCATCAAACACACATGCTGCACGATGCAGATTGTCGGTCTATTATCTTATAGACAAAGGCGCCGTTAACTACACTTGTCCACGTGTCTTTCGGCTTTGATGGTGCTTACATCGCGCCGATAGGCTGCGACTGGGAATAGACATAGGGCAGCTGTCAATTGTCAAGTATCATACTACCTTTGTGTAAGGCCTGGTTTTACGCCGTAAACACTAAAGGCAGTACGTTTTTACGAGTAAAAATAGTCAAAAGGGGTAAATGCAACGTAAAACCTGCCCGTGTACATTATGCCTGTGCTGTGTGGTCAATCCGTGACCGATACTCCCCTGCACTCGTCGTGGGGCGCAAGGGAGCATATGGGCCGTCCGCCAAGCACTTTGAGCACTTGAAAAGCTTGAAAGCTTTTCAACTGCGCACGCTGCCAGCAAGTCGTGGGCGTGGGAGAGGGGGATCGATGCTGTCATCTCGCTGGCATCGGCGGCTCTGGCGTGGCAGCATGGACTAGCGAAGTGCCCCGGAAAGTCAGGGAGAAGTTTGCGCACCATCATGCAGTGGGTGAGCAGAAACACAAAGGCAAGGAGCGCGCCAAGGCCGGAAGCTTGTTCGCCACAAAGGCGCAGCCTGTAGGCACGGAGCTGGCCATGGGTGGCAGCAATTCGCCAAGCCGCGGACCCGGTGCCGGGCACTTCAGGACTGATCGTGGATACAATTAAAATTATGGGGAGGGAGGCTGTTGACAAGGCATGGGCCATGGCGTTCTATGGCTGCAACATATCCTGGAAAGTCCTCCGTTCAGGCATGCCGTGGATCTAACAGGGAGGCTCGGGGGCTGGAGATGACGGAGTGCTGATCACTGTACGCGCTTTTCATCGTGCAAGTTGGGTGTCACGACCAGCCGCAAAAAACAGTAAAAATAGCGAAAAAATAGCTCCTTTCGCAAATTTACGTTTTTATGGAAAAAACGTAACCGTAAACGTAAAAGCCAAGCCTGCTCAGTCCCAAAAGTCACGCCCGACTTCCAATTTGCACAAACGGACCTTAAAACGTGTGAATGGAAAAAACAGGCTGAAAATTTTTGAAGCGCCACATCAAGAGCTGTAGACCCCTCAAGATTTCCAAATGGCGTTGCCGTACTTGTGATATGTCAAGAAGAGCTGAAATGCGATTTTGGATTCGCCGGGGCATTGGGAGGGGTACAGGTTGCTTTCCTTGCCCTTTGAAGTAGGTGGATCAAGTTGAGCCCTCCCCAGGACAGGGTGTGCTTTGGTGGCTTAGTGTGCATGGAAGATGCGGCTTGCTCCTGAACAGAACTTTTAGGGAAAAGGATCGGAGTCCGCGGCGAGCTTTGGGGTGATAACAAGAACCGCGTGCAAGTGGGGGTCAAAGACCAAGAGTCACCTTGATCAGTGCAAGAGCATCCATCTTGCAGATCGACCAAGGTTTGGAAGGCTGAACATACTTACATCGAGCGATACCACACACTGCACCTGCCTCGCCAGTACCTCGGCACAGTGAAGGTACAGGCGGCAACAGCCTGTACATGCGACTGTTAGGTATGCACCTGCCCATCAAGCCCTCGTAACCTTGACGGTGGCCTTTTTGCTTGCAAGCGATCACCGGTGATCGCAGGTACCTGTGTCTCGCTCTCGGTTAGACATTCCACGTCAGCAGTGTTTGGGCGGTGTTGTGCTGATGGGTGTTGCAGGACGCAGCCAGCAAGCAGCGAGAGTACATGCACGAGTGCAATGGCTGGCAGGCTGGCACTGGCGTTGACGCCATGATTGCGCGACGATTAGCGCACACTTCGAAGAACGAGTTGACTCGGGCGGCATGTTCGCTTGCCCTTTCGCACAGCGCTGTTGCGAACTGCCGCGAACCATGCCGGCGAATCAGTACTTCGCAAGAACTTCACAGTGACATTCACCACTCATGTTGCATGGCCCTCGCCCGATTAAATGCATCAGCGGTGCTTCTCTCTCGACTTAGGACTGGGCGCTGGCGTCGCAACGCAGTTAAGTGGAGCAACCAACGGCGGCCAAGTCTCAAGCTAGTGGTTGCCTTGCGGACTCACCGTGGCTGTACCTGGAGAGCGTCGGTGTGCGACACGGTCTGCACGCTCATAACACGAGGATGGCCTGGTCCACAGCGGCAAAGCCATCATCGGCGCTGCGCATGGCAGCCGTCGTTGTGTTGTTGGCTGTGGCAGCCACGGCGCAGGTCCTTCCCGTGGGTAAGCGCACCCCGCTGTCACAGGCGTGCCTAAAATGACCTTGTTCACCCTTGCTGCCCGGGGCCGGAAGTGCAAGTGATGTATTGCGCCTCGCATGAACCCAGCAATGGGAAGGGCGACGCACAGTTGGCGTGCCGCGGCAGCTAGCCGAGCTCCCGGCTCTCAGGACTATCGGTCCGATGCCGAGTACACCAGCCAACGTATCTGCTCTCCTAGTTTCCATCATCTGCACCAAATACAGTGGGGGAGTCGTACGTTGCATCATGTCGAGTACACCACGCCGTCCAGCGAAAGGCCAGTTCCTGACCCGACGCGGGGTCAGGAACTGCGAATGGCAAGCACCGCCGCCTCTGATGCCCAACCTCTGTGGTTCGCAGGCCCTGGCGACAACAACCTGGCGGCGTGCAGCTGCATCGCGCTGTATGACCCCGTCTGCGGCAAGGATGGCGTAACGTATGGCAACTCCTGCGAGGCGGGCTGCCGCAACGTGGAAGTGGAGTGCAACGGGGAGTGCCCCTGCCCCAAGTTCGCCTGCCGGTGTGGGTACATCCTCGACCCCGTTTGTGGGAGCGACGGTAAGCAGTACCCGAACCCCTGCACCGCGTCGTGCGAGCGGGCGGAGGTGGCTTGCAAAGGGGCGTGCCCCTGCGAGAAGCCCACCGGGCCATGCCCAAATGGGGACCTGCACCACTGCTTCGTCAACCCCTGCGACAACGCGAAGTGCCCCGCCTACCCGGGGGCCAAGTGCAAGGCTGACTACTGCGGGGGGTGCTTCGCAAAGTTCTTCAATGGGGGAGTGGAAGTCACCGACAAGTGCGAGGGTGAGAAGATACGCCGATGCAGGCCAACTGTTGCAGACAAACTCTGACAACGAACATTTGAGACACCGGGCTTCGCGTCGTCCCTGTTGTTGTGCGGTGGGCGTTGGGGGATTGTCCGTTGTCCTGTGCTCTAGCCAGTGTGGAATTTTGGCGGTTGCGAAATGGCGGCAGAACTCTCAAAAGGTCCTATTGTGGGCGATCGGCTTTGGTATCATAAGATTGTTGTTGCCTGCATCCTTGTCCATGAAGGTCCTCGTCCACACATCTGCTTGTAACCCTGCTCCACTGCCTTAACTTGCTGTCTTGTCTTCTCATCCGACCAGAACAAGGTTGCGTCTGTCCTGAAATCTACGCTCCTGTGTGTGGCACCGACGGCAAGACTTACAGCAACGAATGCGAAGCAGAATGCGCGCATACGCCGATCGAATGTGAAGGAGAATGCCCCTGTCAAACAGGTAGGGCAGTTGTGATACCCACATATGCAATGTTTGCTTGCGGTGATGGGTTCCACACACAATACTGGGCTGGGTCATGTGCTCTGGGCATGGATGGGGGAGAGCATTTACTAAAAGCAAGCAAGCTGCATGGTGCACACACAAAGCGAATTAGCTGAAGCACTGTTGGTAGAAAATACGAACTAATCTGATTAGTACCAATGAAAGTTCTCAACTTACGATCTGGGCAAGGGGTGTGCCATCCACTGTCTTAGCCTTAGCGATTTACTACTTGCAGACATTTGGCCGTATGTTAATCAAGTGGAAGTTGTCCAACTAACCAGACACTGTGTGTGCTGCAGATCCTTGCAAGAATTGTGAACAGTGCTTGGCTATTGACTTTGTAGACAAGCCCGGGAAGCTGGTCTGCCAAAAGTGCGACCCTGGATACATTTTGACTGAAGAGGGATACTGTGAGTGACACCCACAAGCCATCCATTCCAACAATAGAGCAGCCACTGATGTCGGTCACATGTTTTCCACTGTTTGGATTTATCTGATTGCGCTGCGCATGCAATCAACTGCTGCATATCGTCTCATTTTTCATGAGGAAATTTGCTCAACAGGAATTGACGCGCAAGAGTGTTTTGTGTCCTGGCCCGTTCATTAGCAGTGCGTCCCACAGGTGTGCTCATTTTTATGTGTGGTGGGTTCTGTGCCAACAGGCGATGGCTGTGCGTGCCCTCAACATTATGACCCAGTGTGCGGGGTGGACGGGAAGACCTACGGCAACTCTTGCGAGGCTGGATGTGCTCACGTGGAAGCAGAATGTAAGGGCGAATGCCCTTGCAAGCCTAAAGAGTGCGTCTGCACCAAGGAATACAACCCACAGTGTGGCAAGGATGGCACCACTTATGGCAACCCCTGCGAGGCAAAGTGCACAAATGCAGAAATCGAGTGCCAGGGCGAGTGCCCATGCAGCAAGACCAAGCCTGGTAGCTGCCCTCCTGTGCGTCCTAATACCATTGGAATTTGCGCAGAACTCTGTACTGGGGATGAAGACTGCCCGGGAAAGAGGAAGTGCTGCAGCAATGGGTGTGGTTCTGTCTGCACCAAGCCAGTGGCAGATAACGAGCCCAAAGGTGGGTCAGCATGTCCCCATCGACCACTGCAATCTCCCCAACAACAGAAATCAGTTCTTCAAAACGGTGCCTGTCACTGGGAGCAGCGCACCAGTCTGCATGCAGATCAGCATAATGGTTTCCTATTGCTCCAGACACGCTCCAATCACTACTGTTGCTTGCAAAGTGCCTAAACAAGTGTTTTGTCATGTACCAACAAATGTGACGCCAGGTATTCAGTATTGGTGCCTTGAAATGAATAGGGCATTCAGCACCTGGAGACAAATCCCCAACAAACGCCTGCAAACAAATCCCCAACCTACACAAAGAGAATGAATTCAACGTTTCTGAGCCACCAGACAAGTGGACCATGCTAGGTGTATCATGCTGGACAAGAACTCTCCAAGCAGTGAGCTTGTCGAATCAGATGACAGCGAATCTCCCAAGTCTGGTCCTGTTCTGAACCATGTGGGTAATTGTGGTGTCTGCAGACTGCCCTCCAGAGGATATCGTCCACTGCATAGCGGACCCTTGCACCGTAACTGAGTGCAAAGCCTTTCCTTGGGCGAGGTGTGTCTCTGACTACTGCGGCGGGTGCCACGCCAAGTTCTTCATTGGGAGGCGCGAAGTCACTGACAAGTGTGACAGGAAGAAGCCTTGGCTGAGGGGCTGAGCCTGGAGTTTTGTGGCTGAGGTAAAGATGAATAAACGTCGCTGCACCAGCATGGTCGTGGAATTATGCCTGTCTCGGGCTCGCAATTTTCAAGTGCCGCGCTTTGTGAAATCGAGAAGCATTGGAACGGATTGGAACAGCGAGAAGACCTGCCTTCCACGGGTGGCACAGCTGCAGCTCGTTGGGCGCCGCCGTTAAGCTCATTTTTTTTCTGTGTCCCTCGGTGAATTTGCATGTGTTCTTAGTGTCGTATCTGCTTCAGTGCCAGAAGGGTATCTTTTCCTCGACTCTACATGTACAAGGAAAGAGGATGGCGGGGGCAATCCGCCATTAGGTGAAAGGTGGATTCAGGGGCTGTCCATGAGGGCTCAGAGACCATGGCAGTCGTTTCCGTGCGTTTGCATCAAACTGGGCCATCAAAACAGCACCGAACTGAAGTGCTTTGTGCATACCCAGGTCTGATCGTGCAACAGGCTGGAGACCGAAGAGGGGTGGACTGGATGGTGCAAGAACGCACCGACTGCGGGTCGCCCAGCTGAACCCAAAGCTATCCAGGGAGATGCCAGCTCAACTGCAAGTGTAGTCAAGAGCTGAAGCGTTGACGTCATGACATCGATCATTTCAAAACTGGCGCAAAGGCGCCTTTCGAATTTTGAAGGTCGCAGAGGGAAGTGCTATTGTGCCATGATGATGTGCAGGCTGCAGCGGCAATGAGAGCAGCCAAAACGAAGCTGTTGTTCCCTCACATCATGAGCGTATCATAGGTTGGCAGCCCGCCATTGGATCACGATCACTAACCCAATTTGTATTTGGGTATGCATGATTGTTGGGAGTCACTGCCAATTGCAGGTGTGGTTTTGACGAAGTGGTTAGCGGGATTCACCATTTAATTGCGGACAAACGTGACCATCAGCATAGTACTAGGTACTGTGATCATCTATTGTGACTGTGCTGGCCAGCTGTTTCGTTTCGCGGCAGCTTGGCCTTCTGTACTGCGCTAGGAAGACGTGAATAATGTTTGTTAGCTGGAGACATTTAATAACGAATTGCGGTTATTTGGTTGTCTTGCATGCCCACCTGTATGGAGCCAAGGTTACACAGATGCCGTTGCCGTTGGAACATTCGGCGTCCCGTCCTACTTTAGACTCATTCGAAGGACGTGCTCACAGAGTAGATTAGGAATACATACACATGCAACAAAAAGAACAAGCGAATCACACGATGTCGATGAACTCGTGTTTGTACCCAACAGCCGAAGGCAGGATCCTTGCCCCCCACCACATGCAACAAAAGAATGTCGCTGTTCAGTTGGCTCTCGTGCACAAGAGTCGACGGGACAGCGACATTCTTCCTTAATGGGATTTCAGGGGGTGTGGAGACAGCACACACTTTCTGCATCTACTCGGCATTGTGCGTCCCAAGGTGCTTAAGGGGCGGCGATCGAAAAGAGACGGCGCCCAGTTCGTTCAAACAAATTCATAACCAGGATTTCTCGCATACTAAAGCGAGGAGGCAGCCACCTGCTCCGTATTTCGAGATAAAGTTGAGAAGTTCGCAGCCAGCCAAACCCCACTTTCACTAGGAAAAAAAGGGCCAAATAACACGTGTTCAAACGTGTACAAAGTTTACGGGGTTGGGTTACTTTTGTGTTCTTAGCGTGCAGAACTTTAATGAATTGTGTTTTATATATGTTCGCAAAAATGTTATTTGGCCCTTTTTTAGCTAGTGTCTAGTATCAGCTATAGTCTTCGAGGACTCAAAGCACTGAGTTCCTGTGATGTGGCCGCTATATCCCCGTACCAGTAGTTGTAAATTCCTTGAGTAGGACGTGAATTCAACGACATCAGCCTTCGTGATGGTCACCAACGTCCCTTGAAATTAATTAGACTTTCGCTGTTCTGCATTTGCTGCTTTGTGCACATGCACCTTGCCCGAATGCCCACTAGCCGTTCCCATCATGGTGCAACCCCGGTATTGCAAAGAGGTACCCATAGCAGACCATGTGGCGTTGGTGTGTCCGATTTGGAGTACCAGATTGACATTGCTGAGCTTATCACAATCAAGCATTGTTGTACACCGAAACCAGGAAGTAGCCATGAACTTGTTAAACGATGCAAAATCCAGTATGACCGAAGTGTCTATCAGTGCAATGCATCGTGTGCAGTTTTCAAGCGAGTTGTGTCCTGTCATGCTCCACAATAGAATATTTGCTTTCCAACCCAATGCTTTATACAAACATACTGTCTATCGATTCGCAAGCCCCAGAATTGATACTGGAAATCGTTATCGGCGTCTTAGGCCAGCCTGCTATTGCTCCATCCACTGATATGGAGGATGGCATTCGGAATTGAGGCACATCAGTGGGCGGCAATTTTATTTGCAGCACGTCAGTGGCGACACGTCATGGTGCTGTAAATGAAGTTGTACGCACGTGCAGAAAAGAAAATCCAGCGTGAGGGCCTCACGGTGAAGCCATTTTAAAATGAAGCCACTTTAAAAAAGAAAATTTTCTATTGCCGTGAAGGGGGGAGTAATCTGCGGAAAGCGGCGCCTGGGCAATTCAGTCCCGGGTTCCAGTCCACGTTTGGACAGTAGGTGGAATCTCCACTCTGCAATTTCAGCCCGAAGCTCCAGCGGGCAGTGATACCTCCGGATTTTGCGATATATCATTGCCAATCGACGAACATCTTCGCTGAACTTGCTTCTTGGTCATATCTTGAAACCAGTCCACCTGAATGTTGAGAGATTACATAATTGCACTAAATCAAAGTGAGGTAACATGATGCAGAAGAATGCAGCTCCTCAGCAGCAAACGCCTCTTGACTCCCCCCCTTCTCGCAATCAATCTTCAAGACAGCCACTGGAATGGCTCAATTCATAACCTATGGGCTGCTTCCGTTACCTAACATGGCTTTTAGCACCCCACTTTTGAAGCGCCTACAAGCGCTGCGACTCTAACTCTGACTGCCCTGGGTCCTAAAAAATATCTTGAAGGTGTATCGCACTATTAGGTAATGTCGCTGAGTGGGGTGGGGTGGGGGTGGGGGTGGGGTGGGGTGGGGTGGGGTGGGGTGGGGTGGGGTGGGGTGGGGTGGGGTGGGGTGGGGTGGTTGGGGGGGAGGTCTGAGCTCAGCGTCCATTTGATGCTAAGCGTGCAAAATTCAAAAGAGCGTCTTCCCTTACACAATGTCAAAGGGAATTAGGCTGGAAGACATGTTTGGTTTTCTCAAGTTTGTCACTCCAATCGCCCAGTGGCGTCCCAGTGCTTTGGCAATGTTGAACCGATGGCTTCAAACACAGCAACGATGGCTTCAAACCAACGCGTGCAGCGGCATAGAAACAACTACACATTGGCCCGCTTGCCTACACGGATCGCTGTCTGGCATATGTGAAGATCGGGGAAGCAGACCACGCTGGCGGCAGGAGTGGCGCAGGAAGGCGTTCGGAGGGAGCAGACCTGAATGGAAGGTAGCGGACGATTAGCTGGCGGGTTGGTGCCGTTCTTCAACCCCACCGCTTGGGCGCCCGAAGCCAGCACCTGCTCTGTGTCTTGCGCCAGGGCCGTCGCGGTCACAGGGAGGGAAGCAGCTTTAACCAGGGCCAGGGCGGTGAGGGCGGTCGTTGTTGGTGCTTTCAGCACCTGACAGGTGGTGAATCACGGGGTATATGTCTGCATCGCAACAAGAAATGCAGGCAGCGAAGTTAATTGTTGGTTGCGTCAGGGGCAATTTATTCCAAGCCCTGCTGCACCCAGCCTTTGGAGCGCGACGATGCCTGTCAGGCCATGTTCTGGGCAGCGATAGGGTAGATGATCGTGGGCATTATTGCCACTGTTGTTAATTTGATCTCCAGATTCTGCCTCCCCGGCATTTCTTGTGGACAGCAATTCCGAAGGCACGGGGCTGAGGGATAGCGTTGATGCTCCGTTTCTGATTTTATGATGCCTGGATGTGTTGGCACGGAGAAAAGAGACCTGGCGTCGATGCACTGATGTACCCAGTGTGCCAGCGATGCCAGTTAAAAAGGGTCCTTCTGGCGCGGGGCTGTTATTGGGATGATCCTTCGGGTTGCTCTGTGCTAGAACACCTGACTCACGACCTGTAATTTCGATGTCGACATGCTTTTGGAAGTGTAGCGCCCTCAGTTGCTGTGCAATGCCTCCACCATTCGCTTGCAGTGCTGGGCTTGTGTGACATGTCCGGGAAGCACCACCGGCGGGACCGCACTGCTGATAGTGGGAATGCTTAGCGGGTTGAGGCAGCGTGTGCAGGGGTTGGGGCCAAAAGGCTATTGTGTTGTGTGCCAGTGGCGTGAACAGTGGAAATCTGCAGACATGTTTTTGAATGCTCTAGTCCTAGACAAGGATTAACGACATGTTGCACGGCTGGACAATGACGGCGCCAGCAGAGCAATTGAGTGTCGTGGTGGCAAGGCATGGGCCCAGAGTGCACGATGGGTACTTTGTGCTTGCAGATGCTTTGTTCAACGCTGGAGCCTAGTTCGCGGGAATGTCAAGGGTCAGAAGTTTCCTGCCTTTGCGCTCGCCTTGGTTGCTGTGGCTTTCCGTACGGGAGAATTTGCAGGGTCTTTGAGCCATCTGTTGCTGAGATGAGCACAACAGATTCGAAAATTTTTACTCTTCACATGGCCGTGAGTTGGGTTTTGGAACGCGAATGTGGTTAAACCTGCCACTGCCTGCAGAATTTGCATGGTTTTTGTGTTCAGGAGCTGTTGTTTTGCCACTGCAATGTGCTCAACACAATCTAACAACACGTCCATTACGGCACTGGTGATTAAAGGAACATTGAACATAGGAATCAATGGAAACCAGTGTTGATGTCACCACTGTAGCAACGATATCAATTTGTTTCTTTCTGTGATCTCGAGTTCCATATATTTGCTTCGTTTCTAAAGGCAAAGCTTGAGCGGCCGTTTTTATCCTGCAGGTGCCAGAGTTTGATTCCAGAATTCTGGCCACTGGTATCAGTTCCTCAGAAGCTTGAGCTTCATGAAAAGGTCACGTGTACTCTAGCGGTTCTTCTTGTTCAGGATTTCCCTGTCTGAGTAGGGCACGAATGGCTATTAGCAGAAGAGATGGGTGGTTGTTGGACTTGGAGATTTTTGTTCGCTTCCCCTCTGTGTTGCCCACATCAACTTGTTTTTAATCGTTTTTATGGTTCAAATGCGGAGTTTTTTTGGTGGATTGGTGGCTCAAGAAACACAACAGCCTTGAGCATTCATATATCCTGCATGCCAAACATTTCACACCAGTACTGGACGCACGTTGATGTGGCCAAATGAAAAATCCAAGCAATGGTCGTCAGTTTTGGCTTGTACGCTGTATTGCCTCTCTTACTGCACATGGCACTCTGCAGTGCGCCCTGCAGTGCGCCCTGTAGCACTGCTGGATCGCCGTATTTTCGATCAAAACCTTGAGGCTGCAGTTCACGCTGGTTCCAGAAAAATGGAAATGGACAGAATTATTCGCAGCACAGCTTGTGGAAGAAGGGCCAGAACAAGCACCACTGGCTTTAAAATGAGTAGGGCACACCAACAGCAGAATGCACGTAGTTTTAACTTTGTCTTGTTAGTTTACTGTTAGTCATGTTGTTACTTCACTCAATCAGCGACACATGATCGACAGGTGGTGACTGATTGGAGTGGCACTAGACATAGAACAGCAAGATATTTGGTGGACACCTGCTCAACATTGCGAAACCACGCTGAAGACGGAACAGTTGGAATATTGGCCGAGAATCCGGAAACGAAACGCGCAACACATTTCCTAATGAATTGCACAACGGGCGCCGGGCGCAACAAAGTCGACAGCACCTCACACGAGCACAAAACATGAACAAAAAATGCAAAATCGGCCCATTAGGCCCTTCACGCACCAAGGGGCACAGTCGGCATGGTGGGCGTGGATGCCCTGTGCTGGTTCCCGTCTCCTGGCTTGACGGCAGGCCAGACGGCTTGAAAGACGCGCCAGGCAGCCCCTTCCAAACGGAGCGCCCGTTCCAGGGTGCTTCCGAGACGGATACCACCAAGGGACGCGGCGGGTGACGCCGTGGTGCCTGGGGGTGGACGGAGTGTCGGAATGGGGTTTGTTTCCCAACCGTGTCGTGACTGGCGAATAGGCTGGCCCTGCCGCAGCATTACGAGGGCGGTGGGATGCAGGCTGCGGCTTCCCGCAAAAATCTCGGCTGATTGGAGGTCGGTGGATCTAACGGGCTGCGCATGGCGGGCGTCCGGTCCGGGGCGCGTGGGAATGCGACCTGACACGAAGCCGAGGTGCGGAACGCAAAGGAATGGCGGGATTGCGGGCCGATCAATGGGGTGGTGATCGGCGTCGTCTAAGGCCGAGGGAAGTGCTTGCAGCGTCTTGGCATCGGTAATCTGGCGTCATCTGATTCGGCGTGTATTGGCCCGAGTCCAGATTACTGTCTGGTATGGGGACTTGTTGGTTGTGGCAGGGGCTTGGGCGAAGTCGTACCGCGGGCTAGACAGCGGCAACCGTGAGTAAAAGGGCACCGCAGCAGATTCGCAAATTGTCTTCAGGTGCATTATAAGCAGATGTGTTTGCACAATCCACAACATCCTCAGACATATATTGATATTAATGCATCACAATCCACAATGATCTCGCAGCATGTTTTCCAAACCAGTCTGAAGGCTCACACTTTCAGGTGCCCTGATTTGCATTTCGTACTTTCATGCTGCACAAGCCATCGTCTGCAGATTGTCCTGGCTGTGGCCGTACCTTGTTGGTGCACCATGTCTACTTCCCACTGAACAGCTTTATGCCTTCTGCTAAGGCTGCCGGTATCATAAACAAGAAATACGGCATCCTCACAGCGCACAATATTTGCACGTCTCGTACCATGGTGGTGCCCCACTGCAACTTGGACAAAAATCTGCTGAAAGCCGGGGAGACTATAGGAACTAGGTTCGTGGGCAACAAGCCTATTGGATGCTTATGTGCCTGTTATGGCATATCATGACAATGGCTTGGAATTGTGGTTTTCATGCCATGACATGTGCACAGGCTTGGATTTATCATGCTATGTTAGCGAATTGTCACTGGCAGAATTAGTAAAATAGGGACCTGCTATCTTCAGAGTTGAGAGAATACCATCACTAGGTGGCCTATCACTGGGCAGGTGCCTGTTTACAGTCACTTGAAGTTGACGAATTGACGGTCAGCTGTCTGTTGACTGTTACCTTCATTTGACGGCTTACTGGCACTGTCTAAAGCATGCACTTTGCTGCTGATGCAGTGCTGCAGTATTTCCTTTCCCTTTGCAGCTGTGGCTGCATAAACCTGTCTGTGCCGCAGATGGCTATGCTGCACGACTAATGATGGGGTGGTTGAAGACCAGAGTGAAAATGGCGTGGTTGCGTTGGAAGAGGTGAAACTGTAGTATTGCACAATTGCCTGCAATCAGGTCACCCTCTGCATTTCAATTCCCCTGATCGAACGTTTTGGGCTCGCACATTGCCATCTGTAGTGCTGCTGCAGTTTGTGAATGTGAGTCTGCCCTTGTCTGTAGTCTCATGGAGTAAATGCCCACCCCAATCCCTGCCCAGTGGACATCTTGAATAGTCTTGTTCTATGCAGGAACCAGAGATGGAGGTGTCTGACTCGGAAGGGGAGATTTTTGAACCCCTGAAAGAAGCTCTTGACAGGGCAAAGGCACAGGCACTCAGCTCGTCTTTCAAGAGGGAAGCATTGGAAGCAGAGGTAAGCATTTTGTTGCACTTTCCCATGCATGCTCGCGACCACACAAAAAAGCTCACAGTGGGCGGTGGTTTTGGAGGTGGCCTTGTTGCTCAGAGAGTGTAAGGCATCGCGCGGGCGCATTTGTTGGTGCAGGCTCAAGGTGTAGCTGAGCTTGCCGTAGAAGCTCGCGATGCGTTCAAGAGGATCGACAAAAAGCTTGAAGAGGCAGCAGCAGAGCTGGAAGGGTTTGCAAAAGAGAAACAGGATCTTGAGGAGAGGCAAGAGCAACTGTCTGCAAGGAAACTGGAGATCAAGCAGGCAAAGAAAATTGAGGAAGAAGAGGCACAAGCCGATGGGTGAGGGTGTAGCATGGGCTGTTTTTTATTTTGGATCAGGAGTGGGGCTACTTACAAAGCAGCCCCATGCATCAGGGTTAGGGGCTTGGGAGGGCAACATGACTTTGCCATCAAGGTCTTTTGGGACTCAAATTTCGTGTTCATGAAAGCCCCGGCACATCCTTGTTCCCTGGTTGTACCTATCTATGCATGGGCAGTCCTGCTTGGGGAATGATAGTGTCTGTTTCCTGGGCCACCTCTCCCAATTGCTTCAAGCAGCAGAGTGCTTCATTGCATTTTGGTCAGGCTACCCCGGCACTTGTTGTCAGTGTGTACACATCCATGAGCCTCTTATGATTGTTTTCATTTGTCATGGACTTGAAATGGTGTCGTAAGAGTTGGATTGAGACAAGTCAGGTAGTTTTGTTGTCAAGCAGCTACCTGTAAGCACCAGGTTGCCACTAGAGCCATTATCTAGGTCTTGCAGCAGTGTCTCCAACTCTTGAAATATCCACACAGGACTTGCATGATGCCAAGGCTGTTGTACTTTCCTGGCATCCCAGGTTGAAAACTTTTGTGTGTTGAAGATTTTGGCTCTAGTCCACTGAATGACTGATGAGCAGGCAACTATCTGCATGGGAGCGAGTTCTGAGGGATAGCATGTTATATTTTACGTCACAGCTGGTGCTCTTGCAGTCTGTTCTAGTTCTGTACCATTCAGCAGTTAAAAGTCCTAGAAAGGGAAGAAAGCTGCATCCTTGCCTGCAAGGTCGCACAACTTCATGTGTGATTAAGTATCTGTGAACGAATGCTCAGAATGGGAGGGCTTACTGGTGCTTCATCTTGCGAGTTTGCTTCACACTGTGATACAAAACTTGACTTTGGGGGGAAAAGCAATGGATATCTGCATTGCAAGCCACACTCAATGCTGAACAGGCCATCATGAGTGGTGTAGAGCAGGCATACTTATACTCGTGCTTGTCTAACTGTTATGTACTGTGATGGGATGCTCATTGGCTCTGTATGGTATGATAAGATGATGAGACATTATGTACGAATATGTGGATAAACTGGATTTATGTACAGACATGAATGTGTGGACAAAGTGGACAGAATCACTGCATATATGTGGATGACCTGCTCTGAGATTGTAACCTTGCTTTTCCATTGCGCACAGCTTCACAGTATGTGCAGATTTTCAAGAGGTAGGAATAGGACGACCTCTGTTTTTTTTTGGTTCATGCTTCCGTTAGAGTGTTTTGCTTCCATTTTGAAGTGGAAAGCAAGGATACAAGTGCAACATGGGTTTGGGAATAGAAACAAAATGGAGTGAAAACGCAGAACGGAGTGAGAGTGTGTCCAAAGAATTGAAAATTTGTGCAAGCTGACCAAAGACCAAAAGAGAATATCGAAAATATGGGCAGCTGTTGATCAAGCATGCTGAGAGCCCTCAAGCCAGTTGGAAGTATGTGCAGCTTGAGTTGCATGCTTGTCAGCATGTTGTTCACCAAGGCATCGAATGCTGCACTAGTGGTGCCAACTTCGCATTTGTTGTGGCTTACAAAATTGTACAGATGCACACATACACTTATGGTGACATTTTGCTGTCACTGCTGTGCTTTCCCAACGGCAGGGAAGATGCTGTGTCTCGCTTGGAAGGTGGTTTAATTCTGTCATCTGCAGAATGGATTTCTGAGTATGATGAGGGTGCAGAAATGGAGGATTTTGCAGAAAACGTTCAGGCATCAGCCGATTTGAACGAAGAATTGAAGGAAATTGCCTTGGAGTTTGAGGGCGCAGTCAAAAGAGTATCAGAACTTGCACTGCTGATGGAGGAACAGGAAAGCAAGGTATGAGACAAACATGAAGCGACATCTGGGTCCTATGCTGTGAACTACTATTTGCCCCGTTTAGAGCAGCTAGATCCTCATGAAGATGTGCTGTGTCACTTTTGTTACTGATGGGCTACAATCAGCACAAGTCCGAAATTGCTGTTAAGAGCACTTGCTTGCAGATCAGATCGAAGCACATTTTGTCAAAAGGGAATTTTCCAGTGAGCTGGTCAGCTTGTGCGCCATATGGCAGTGCTGATGTCAGAATTGTTGCTTGCACGTCTTTGCTTGTTGGCCATTTTGGCTCTTCCTTGAGCAAGAGTACATGTGCGACAAGAATCTAGTGGCCTGGAGCAGAAGCCCTTTCGATTTTTGAAGGATCTAGTGAGCAAACAGCCATGCTATGTGGGCATGGCGAGCATCCGCAAGTTCCAATGATTGTATTTGCCAGGATTGGACAAAGCACAGCCCTTGCATCTAACAGGCTGTGAAAAACATAAGCACAGCGCAGTGTTTGTTCGGTACCGGATATCTGTGTGTGCCAATCCACTGGATCCACTGGGCATGTGTACAGGCAGCCAAGTTGATGTCTGCTGCAAAGGTTCATGTTGGCCGAAATTACCAATTTGTGGAGGAAGACATTGACACAATGCCCTTGCTGGCCAGATCCAAGACATCCAGGATAAGGTGTATGTTGCTGGGTTAGAGGCCAACGTATTTGAGGAAAGGGCATCTGCAGTCATGACGGCCTGTCAAACAGCTGTCACAAATGAATTGGAAGCCAAGGCAGTGCTAAAGGAAACAGAGGCTGCTCTGGACAAAGCAATGAAAGAGTCTGAGGCACTTGAGTCATCACAAGAACTTGATGAGTAGGTGTTCACTCCAGTGGGTGTATACAAAGCAGGCCCACCTTTCAGGTGTGGCAAGGGGTGTTCATCAATTAAAAGCAATGAAGATACAGGCAGAGGCTATGTTACATGTCCCATATTCAAAAAATAAACAAAAGTCACAAGTAATCACCATCTTGATCAAAGCAGTGCAGGGGCGTGTACACGATTATTCTATTTATGGTGTGCATAACAGGAAGTTATTGAGGATTCACCAAAAGATGCACATGAGCATGTGATCATTTGGCACTTCCTCCCACCTCACATGGGCTCATCGAGCCTGAACAATTCAAAGGACCTGGGAATGGATGAAACGGAATCGTATGATAGTCCAAACTGGAGTTGTGAAGCCTGCCATCGTGTCAACCATATTTTTGCAACAGCCTGCCTCTTCATTTTTGAGCTCGATCACAATCTGCTTTTCGTGCTTCGCTGGGTTATTCTGTGTTTGTGTTGGCGGCGCATAGAGATGAAGAAAAGGAAGAAGGGCAGGTCAGCGATGTGTCTGATGCAGATGAACCACCTGAAAAGACAAAGACACGTATGGAAGCTGAGGTAAATTGATGCAGTGCATCCACCACAACAGTCGATTGAGCAGCGCCTGCTTGTTTTCTGCACATTGTTGGATTAGGATGCACTGTCCTGAAATGTTAGGGTGGGGCCATCAACTAACTCAGATTGCATTGTGGACTCGTTGAAGGGGAGTTCACGTGTGTTGATGCCTGGGGTCGAGGTGCCCTCTGCGCCTCCTGCTGAAAAGAAAGAGAAACGAAAGGAGGTATACACCGAGGAGAAACAGCACCCAGCTGTGCTGTTCTTGAAAAAGCATGGAGTCGCAGTGGGGACTGTGTTGCTCTTTGCTGCAGCTTCTGTTGTATTCCTTCAGTCATCCACTGGCAAGACTCTGCTGGCCTCAGCGGGTGGCTTTTTCAGCAAGTTGTCATATCACCTGGGTCAACTCTGGCACTACATCATTCCATCTTCACATGCGTGAGTATCAACTTGCCACGCTGCTGTTGTATTGCCATGACATATCTGTGCTCCCCACTGTTCCAGAGAGTCTTCAAATTTCTGCATGTTGGCGGGGGGCATGCAGCGCAATGTGGCAAGAATTGCAGAGAACTGCTCTGGTTTGGCTTTTGATCTCCATGCTGCAGGCTTAGCTGTGACAACAACGGTGAAAGACAGCTTGAACAGCAAGGTTTGCACTGTGGACATTTGCCCGTAGAATGTGGTCTTGTCATCTTGTGGCAGACTGGCCGGTTGTAGAGTATCATCAGTTGATCATGAGCTCAACCAGTCATGCTTTCATGAGCCATAGAGTTCTTATATGTGGTGGTTGGTGCTGGTTTATGGTCAAAACCAGAGATCAACATGCTAACAGGGAAACAAATAGTCCAATCTGTGATGAAATGATCACATGAGATTCCTGATCACTTTGCTTGCAATGTGATTCTCAATGTGCACATCTGGCGTATGTTGACGTGCACATATTGGTACTCAGACCATTACAGAAAAGGATGTTTGTTGAGTGCAAAATGAACTACGTTGTGTCATCTGCAGTTCAAAACAGTTCACTCTCTCCCCCTGGGAAAAAAAACACTTTATGTGGAATCAGCCATGCAGGACATAACAATACAAACTCTGCACCTGCTGCCTTGCACACTTCTGCCGTCAGTACCAGTGCCCTGATTGCGATTTATTGCAAGAACTTATATGGTCCAGTATCCCTTCTTTATTATGCATGCCACAGGACCCACGAGCCTTAGCGGGCATTTGGAATGAATGACCCTTTGCACTGTCAGCCATGGCGAGACCATTGTCCCTGACTATGTGCTTGGATGCGATAGGGGCGAGGAAGGTTTCCTCCAGACCATTTGGCTGCTTCTTATGAGTGTCGTGATGGTCCCACTAGTCTTAAAGGGCATCCCAGGCGGGACCCCCATCTTGGGGTTTCTGGTATGTTTATATGCTCTCCCGTTGAGCCTCACGTGGTTTGCCACATTTTTGTGTCTGTCTTCAGATAGTTGTGCAGTTGTCATTGTTGTCTGTGAGTCCTTGTGTTCGTTGGCAATGCTGTATGGCCATTGCATCAGGTACCATTGGCCTCTGCAGTCCAGCGCGAGCTCTGCAACATGCTATTTTTTCCTGTGCTGTGGCTTACCATCTTCTGTGATGTGAGAGAGTTGCAAATCTGTCCTTAGGAGGGTCTACCCCACATGCAAAATGCTTCTGACTGTAATGATCGTGTGAGTTGGGTGACAGTTGAGGTGCCACTCACTGGTGCAGTGTTTGCCTGCTGCCAACAGATAGCTGGTGCTCTGGTAGGGCCGCATGCCCTGGGAATAGTCAAGAACATGGAGGGGGTCCACATGCTGGGGGAGCTGGGCGTTGTGTTTCTGCTCTTCAACATCGGCTTGGAGCTGAGCTTGGAGAGGCTGAGGTCCATGGCCAAATTGGTCTTTGGCCTTGGAACTGCCCAAGTGCTGGTCACTATTTTGGCAGTGGCAATGATCGCCGTTTCTCAGACTGGTGTGTCAGGATCAGCGGCAATTGTTGTTGGCTGTGCTCTGGCTTTGTCATCCACAGCTGTGGCCATGCAGGTGGGATGCTCTCCCAGAATGCAACTTTCTTGCCACTGGCTCATGGTGCATGAGTAGTGGTGCCTGTTTGCTGTTTGCGCGGTTTTGACAAGCAAAAGCATCAGGTATTGTGCCCTGGTGTCAAGCCCTTTCGATGGAGATGTGTGGCAAAATGGTGGCTGCTGTTTGGCGGCTTTCTTGCCGCTGGACCTCTTTTAGGGATTGTTCCTTTCCTCTTGTCAGCCCATCTTCCCTGTCCAGTGCAGCCAGGGCAGTGAGAGTGCTGTGTATGTGCTGCGCAGGTACTGCAAGATCGTGGTGAGAATGGATCAAGACATGGGAGGGCCACATTCTCTGTTCTGCTGCTTCAGGATTTGGCAGTTGTTGTTGTCCTCATCATGATTCCCTTGCTGGCTCCAAAGAATGGTGCAATGGCTGGGGGCATCCATCATATCCTCAAGATCCTTGGCACCGCAGCTGTGAAAGCTGCAGTGTGCATAACAGGCATCATTGTTGGTGGCCGTGTGCTTCTGAGGCCCATCTACAGGTCAATCGCAGGTTTTGAGAACAAGGAGATCTTTGCTGCCCTCACCCTGCTTGTTGTGCTGGGAGCAAGCAAGCTCACTGAGGTGTCGGGCCTGTCGCTGGCCCTGGGGGCTTTTCTTGCAGGCCTCTTGCTGGCAGAGACAGAGTACGTGCTGCAGGTGGGTCAGCACACAGGGCAGGCGATTTTACCAAGCTTCTGCATGATCGATTCGTGCCAGCTGCTCTAAAAACTATTCCTTGTCATAGATGCACAGGAGGCTGCATATCTCTTAATTTGGTTGTGGCAGAGATCCATTGTGTGAATGATTGCTGGGCCACAAGCTGAAAACCCAAATAGCCTCAGTGCATTCCTGTATGCAAAAAGCAGCAACCAGTCCCTTCACACTGTCAATTGTTCGCTCCCGCTGCTCGTTCATTGCCACTGCCAGTAATGGGGCAAGTGGTTTACAAGCTCTGCACACATACAGAGATGAGTAGGTGTGTAAATGAACATGAGTAAGCAGAAAAATGTACACTGATGAGGGCTGACTCATGAATGTTGTCAATGCATTTGCCAAAAACTGGCAGAGGATGGCTCTTGAACCTACAAGGAGAAGATGGGATAATCTGCGCTGACATCGTTGTGCTTTGGCATACTGGGTGTGCGCAGGTTGAATCTGACATTGCCCCTTATGAGGGGTTGCTGATGGGGCTGTTCTTCATGACTGTTGGCATGGAGATCTCTGTCGGGCCACTTTTCGCACAGTGGAAGTCAGTTCTCACATCCTTGACCATCCTTCTTGCTGGAAAAGTTGCAATCATGGCTGCCGTGGGGCCCTGTTTTGGGCTGTCGCGGGTGACAGCCATTCGCTCTGGGCTGCTGCTTGCCGCTGGTGGCGAGTTTGCCTTCGTGACTTTGGGTGAAGCAGAAGTCCAGGTCTGCACACGCAATGGAAGAGATTCTGCCACCATGCTGTGCTGCACAGTGTGGCTGTTGCATGTCTATTGAGAAAGGACTGTTATGTACTATGCTTGATGTGGCTGCCACCAGACGCGTAGCACAGCACTGGTTGGGCACACTGCATTTGTTTGATCGCCATGGTGGAACTGCCGTTCCACAATGTGAAGTACTTACCCTTTCTTTCGTTGGTGACCATTACATCACAGTGTTAACCCAACACTCATTATAACGACATTGACTTTTGTTGCTTGATTTGTGGCCTGGGTGGGTGCTCTATCAACTAACAATTGTGTTGGTACACTGTTCGCTGGTGCAGTGGCTCATCTTTCGATTGAGTACAGGGCATCTGGAACCAGTTTGAAAAATAAGATCTGTATTTACACAGCCTATAAAAAGGCCAGGCTACCTAGAAGCATATGTTGCGTATCATGTTGCGTATCATCATTGATGTATACTTGACAGTTCGATGGACAGCAACAGTCTAATTCCACTGTTTTATGTGTTGGATTCAAAAGACTTTGGACATTGGCCTATTCTTCCTGAATGGCCACCGCTACCATTGGATTCTTGCAGCACTCTGCTTGCAGTCACTCCAATGTGCGTTGCTCTTCCGCAGGGCATCTTGCCATCGCCAATCGTCAACCAAATTTATCTCGTGGTGGCACTTAGCATGGCTCTTCTTCCATACCTTGCAATTTTGGGTGGGAAACTTGGCCAGTTGTTTGAGAAGAGTGATATGAGGGTGAGGCATTTGGCTCCTGGGCACGTCATCCCAAGAATGAACAGTAGACATTGAAGTTGAGTTGGGCATTCTGTATTGAGCCAGGGTACTGTGTCGAACAATGCAACATTTGATCATGGAAAGAAGCAATGTTGAGCTTGAAAGGATATGTTGGGCCAGGGAAATACACTTACCAGAATCTATTTCTGTATGCCGCAGTGAGATGGTTTGGCACATGTGTTCATGTCTGCTGCTTAGGCTGTAGTAGCGATCACGTGCTGGTACCTATGTAGATGGCAAAGGAGTGCGCTCTTTTATGCTGCCAGTGCAAGTTCCTTGGACTGATTGACTGACTCTGTGTATTGATTTTCTATATGGTAAAGGCTATGCAACCTCGTGGCGAGGAGACTGGCAGCCAGAAGGGCCACGTCATCATTGCTGGTTTTGGCAGAGTGGGGTCTCTCATAGCAGGTCTGCTGAGCGAAAGGCTGATCCCGTATGTTGCGCTTGATGTTCACAGTGACAGGGTTCAGGTATGTGGTTTTTTCACTGCCCAGATTGGGTGTGACACGTTGTTTGTTCAGCAAAGGTTCCAGTGGTCTTCTCGCTTGGCTTTCAGCCTACTATGGTGTGCACAACAATAGGTGTCCGCAACAGTGTCACCTACTACGTTCTTGGCTAATCATCATAACGTGGGTCTGACAAATCAGCACCATTCCTGCAATTCGTCAGCATGCTGAAGTGGCTGGTTAGCCTTGCAGCAGGAGATGTATGGCAAACCGCTGAAATTTTGATCTCATTTTCATTGTTGCAAACCAGAGAACTACCACAGGTCAGTTTTCCTTGGCATTGTCACAAAATAGAATAGGGTGTTGGAAACATACTGATTTGGGTCTGAGGGAGTGTGTTCACATCATTTAACAATAGTTGTGTCTGGAGTTGCTCTGGGGCTTGTGGCTCAGCTGTGCCCCAAGTGAAATTTCTGCTGGTTCATGCTTTCAGAATGGCAAGGCTTTGGACCTTCCTGTTTACTTCGGGGATGCTGGCAGCCAAGCAGTGCTTCAGAGCGTTGGTGCACAGAATGCTGCCTGCATTGTGG